CTACACCTCAACCAACTTTCGGGGCTTGTCTGCAGTGTCTCAACTTGCAAAGGCCTAAAGGAGACACCATTTCTTTTAATTGGGCACAAATTTATGTACTCATCAATCCTTTTCCTACACTTGGACACCTCTAGTAGATGACCAGGTGTGACTCACATGTAATTATCAATCTGTCCAAGCACACTACAGCATTTAGCCTATGTTAGTTGGGTGTGTGTGTAAATGTACATCTATACCCCTCGAAAACCTGTGGTTTTAAATGTGTCATGCTTGGTTCATCCATCTGTATCATTCTTGTAAATGATTACAAACAAAAAATATATATGGGGCCTCATGTTAGAATGTTATTGAATGAGAAGTGATTGAAATGGGACTGAATAGGGGACAAAACACATATAAAAAGGGGGGAAATGGCTTGATGCTATAGTGGATTCTTGAATAAGAAATTAATTAGATGGAATATTATGGTGGTGGTTCAAATGGAGGTGAGGTCTGCAATGAAGATAAGTGATGGAGTCAGATAAATCTATTTCTTTGATATTACTTTGGACAATATACATTTAGACATTTGTTTTTTCATCCAAACATAATAGTTTTCAATGGCTTCGTTTTTCTTTTCTGAACTCGAATCAAATACAATAATTTTCGTATATTAACAAAAAATACATTTACATAATAAAAACAAATTTTACTATATCTCTTTTGAAGTTTAGTAGATTTGCAAAATTTATTCTCTTTAATTTTTAGCTTCTTTATCGAATTAGGTCGTTAATTAATCCCTATCCATAGACATTTTCATACTCAAGATTCAATGCAAGATGATTCAACGTCGACAATTTGAAGTTTACTTCAATCAACAAATGGTTCTGCAACAGTTAATCAATGTTGAGAATGAATACTCCTCGTGATTTGTTAAATTAATTATACTCTGAGCCAGATAGAACCTTTCCAGCTGGGCTCCCCACGATTTCTCATCACACTCATCACACTCATCACTAGAAGACCCCCTACTTGATTTACCAATGTTACGAGCTTTGATGCCGAATGGTATGTTGCTCAATTTGTCTTCAAAGTTTTAAGGTTCATCACTTCTTTCGTCTTTCAAATCTTTCATCATATGGTTTTCATGTCGCCTACTACTTCCTTTAAATACCATGAAAAGGGTTGAGAAAAATCAATCTGAGAGCGTAATGCCAACTCTGATACCACATTCATCATAAATATTAAGTGTTGGCAATAAAAATGATTTTGTCACAAATAACAATCAAAGATCCTATATTTATTGACGAAAATTGCTATGATTTTTCTAGTCTCAAATAAGTATTTGCTACCAAATTTACCCCTTTTCTGACAAATTTCTTCGTCACAGAAAATATTTTTTTTTATAGTTACCAAAAAGAGGAGGATAAACAAGAGTTATGCTCTATACTTCCATCAAAATATAGATTATATATAATTCAAATACTTAAAGTTACACCCCATCTTTCATCCCCAAATTCATATACTACACCTCATATTCTTCCACACATTAAACTCAAAGCACAAAAAATGACAAGACAATATCAAATTAAACAATGCTTACAGACTATTAGACAACTATAAATATGGGTAGATGTATGACAATGATAACCCTTGCTCAGGAGGTTTAGCGTGAGGGATGGGGGATTTGGCATATGGAGACATTCTCTATCAGAATTCAGTGTGGGAGAAGAACTCTTTAACATTCTATCTCATCCGAACATGTAATATAACATCCTTGTTGTGTCGAACTATCATGCCTACCCGTACATCCACCATTAACATCTCCCCTAAATGGTGAGCGGACTTAGTAATGATTCTGACACTCAAGAATTGAGCCAATTCTGACACTATTTGTAACGAGTCACACAATTACCATTAGATCCAAAAATTTAAACAATTAGGTGGAATTACCTAAGCCCAAAACCTTCCCATATAAATACGACGTGTGGGACAAGAACCTATCTTGACATCCACAAAAGCTTGAGCAGGACTACCTTGCTTGGATAAACAACTCTTGGATACACAGTAACACGTCAAACTTTGTTATATATATATATATATATATATATATATATATAAGTAATTAGAAGCACTGTAATAACTTAGAAGAAAGATTGATTGAATTACTTACTACCTGTGTATAAGAATGAATAAGTTGTATTAAATATATTTCATGATTTTTATATATTTATGTGAGATGAGAAAAAAAAAAAAAAAAGGTCATTAAAATTAGTCTAATTAAAAACACAGGTTAAATGTCTCCTTTGGGAGGCATTCACTGCTTGGTGGACAAATACCCTCCAAGGACTTGGTACAACAATGGAGTAATGTGTGCTTTTACCTACATGTGAATAAAAAAAAAAAATAGAAACCATGACGATTGCAAATAAGATTAGAACATGCATTCAGAATATATTTTTATTGTTCACTTTCTATAGAAATTCTTTTTTAGGGTGAATAAAAAAATTAAAAAGGAAATTCTGGATGAAGCAGTTCATCAATCATCAATCAATCACAAGAAATACAGACTTACATATTTAAGATTTAAAAAAAAAAAAAAAAAAAGAGGCATGGTCAACGTCCGTGACGAAGCTACACAAAAAAGGGCTAGGAGCCTACAAGTTTCTACTAAAGGAAAGAATTTTCATGAAGAATGTATTTAATTAGATTGATCTGGATATATGAGTAGGAGCCCCAATGGGCGGTTCATGATGTGGGTCCATTGAAAATGATATTCATACTATTTTAGAATTCCTATTATATATTTTATATATATATATAAAATTTAAAGTCAATATGGAGTAGGGAAGTAGTTGCCAATAATAATTTAAGTGGGTGAAAAATATTGCGCCTACTCTTCATCTGGGCCCAGTTTGATTAGTGGGAACGAAAGATAAAAGTTAAGGAAGGTAATAGAGGAAAATGCTGATATAATTTTTTTTATAAAAAATATTGAGATATAAACTGGACACGGTAAATAGATTTTATTATAAATAATTTTGTTTTTGTTTTTATAAAAGACAAAATTAAAATAGCATATAAACACAATTGGACAACAGCTTAAAACTATAAAAAAATTGAAATATTTTACCACAACAGCTTAACGCTATAAAAAAATTGAAATATTTTTGTTACTAACAAGTTGACCGCTAACTTAAAATATATTTTTTCAATGACAAATTACCCTTCAAATAGATAAAGTTACATTTTTACCCCTTTCTACATATTATTCATTAATATTTGACATTAGTATTGTTCACATCACGGGAAAAGATATAACTTTATCCACTTGAAGGGTAATTTTGGTATTACAATAGAGTAAAGATATAACTTTATTCATTTGAAGGGTAGTTTTGGTATTAAAAAAATATTTTAATGGAGTTAACGGTTAACTAACTGACGGTTACTTATTTTAAGGATGGGTTGGAAATTATTAATTTAGTTAACTTAGGGTTTAAATTTGTTAAAGTGACCTATTTGCAGCAGATTAGAACTTTAAGGATATTTTTTGCACGGGAGGGGAGGGGCAACCTCTAATAGTATCATTTTACAAAATTATTTATTTTTATATATTTTATAAAATAGTTTAGTAAGTGTAATTTAGTCAACTTATAGTTCAAATTTATGAATTTCTTCAATTGCATCCTTAAAATGGTGGGCTTATTGAGCATAACTCTACTAAAAAAAAAAAAAATTAAATAAATAAATAAAATTCAAAGAATGTAAACGATTCTATTTCAGCGAAGACTAAAATAATTTGATGGTGGTTATTAGTATTTAATGAAAGCTAATAATTTGAAAATAAATGGAAAAAATAAGACTAAAAAGATTAAAATTTGGAAGAGATATTGTAGGCAATAAAAACAAAAGTGGAAGGCAGCTCTAGTTGTTGTCAAGGATCATGATAACGAGCTCTCATTTGCCTATTGCAGTCTCTAGTACACCGTGCTGATAGTAGACTCCAAGTCTCCAACCCATCCTTAGCCTGTATGAATGAAATAATTTGCAAATTGCAACTTTCTTCTCTCTCACACACTCGCACAATAGTGTGTGCATAATTATGTGTTTTTAATTACAAAATCTGTAATAGTGATGGATTAGATGAGTCATTAGCATATCTTCTCATAAATTTCAATTGGGATATACATATTACATAGTAGGTTTGTTTATGTTGTTAATTAACAAAGGAAAAAGAAAAAATTCAAGACGGACATATATATATATATATATATATATATATATATATATATATATGAGGCTGTCATTTTGTCAAATTAATTGGCAAGCTTGATTGTTAAATAATACAATTAAATTAAATTTTGAATAAACACCTATCCTCCAAATAAATACTCCAAGAAACAAAAAAAATAAGAAGTTATATTCTTTAGAAACCACAAAAAAAAAAAAAAAAAAAAAAAATGAAATGACTTGGTTATCTGGATGTGTACACCTGTAAGAAAATGACCATACAAGTGTTTTATTTTTTTATTTATATTATTATTATTTTTTAAAATGAGAAAGTTAAAGAACTTTAGTAAAAAGTGCTGGTACATGCACCTGCAGAAAATGACAAAAGTAAAATGGATTTTACTTGAGACAAATTAAAGAACTTCAACAAAAAAACCAATTGAACCACAGCCTTTGATTGATATACCCTCACTCAAGACAAAGAGCTTTAATATATCTCATCATCAGTCAAATAAGAATAATTTGAGCAAGTATTCATTAAATTGAATTTGGAACTCCATAATTTGGTATAAAAAATGATGAGGTACTACAATGGTAAGAAAAATTCATAAAAATAAAAAATAAAAAAATTTATGGCAGCATTAATAAAATTCCAAACACACCGCTAGATGGCCATGGCCACCCTGTCCTGTTTGAGAAGTCATTTTCTCATCTATAACACCTTAATGCAACCTCTTCCATGTAGGGCCTGAAAACTATGTAGATCTTTCTATTAACTCCACCCACCCCCCTTCTCTCTCTCCTCTCTCTCTCTCTCTCCTCTTCTTCTTCCTTCTCCCCACCCATTATAGACAATGGAAGACTAAGAATACATATAAGACAAGTTTTAGGTGGTACAACATTCTAACAATCTCTCATCTTCCATATGCCCACACTTTGCGCCAATCTCCAAATTGTCCACTTAAAATCTTGTATAAAGAGGCTAAGCTAATAGGAGAGTTCATTATTAGATGACCCTTTTGATGAATATTATTAATACAAGTGTTCATCATTAGTTTCATGGCAATTGCAGCAACCATGAGCCAAGATGATCATGGCAGCATGGATGATGATCAGCATGGCCACCAAGCTGTCATGCCCGGCTTTCGATTCTACCCTACCGAGGAAGAACTCATTGAGTTCTACCTTCGCCGTAGGGTAGAGGGCAAGCGTTTTAATGTTGAGCTCATCACTTACCTTGATCTCTATCGCTATGACCCTTGGGAGCTTCCTGGTATGCATACATATATATATGTATATATCACTATGACACTTGCCCCTTCACCTTAATATTGCGTTTGGAAGCACAGAATTAGTAACTTGGAATTGGAATCCGAAAAAATTTAGTTCAAACTTTGGTGCTCTTAAAAGTAGCTTAGTTTTATTTTTTTTCCTTTCCATATGAAAGACTTAATTTTTGGCTGATGATAGTGTACTCATTCATACACTTGTACATGTATATGTATATATAGATAAGGTACTGATTGGCTAATTATAGAGTTACCTTTGCCGTAAGGTAGAGGGCAAGCATTTCAACGCTGAACTCATTACTTACTGTGAGTTGTCTCCCCTTGGGAGCTTCCCGGTATGCATACATATATATATATATATATATATATATATGTAAACATATATATGAACATTTGCCGTCTCTTTGAGAGTATACCCTTTTGCTAGTTTACCTTGATGATGGAGCGTACTGAACCAGCGTCTTGGAAATGAAATCTGAGAAACCTAAACATAGCTTAATTTGTTTCTTCTCTTTTCTTTCAATATGATCATGATTCCCCTACCCCAATAGGGAAGGTCCTTTTTCCGGTTTGGTCCGGTTGTGGGCGAGGAGGGATTCGAACCCCCAGTGGTTCGTAGCCACATGCTCCAATCCTCTGAGCTAAAGGACTGAGTTAATTTTTGGATAATTAAAGGGTACCCATATTCATATATTTGTACATGTATATATAGATAATTAAGGACGTACTGTTGATTGATTTTTAGCTCATGAATTTAGTATTTTTCTTGTTGGGTTGATGATTTCAGCATTGGCAACAATTGGAGAGAAGGAATGGTTCTTCTATGTGCCTAGAGACCGCAAGTATCGAAACGGGGATCGACCCAACCGTGTGACAACTTCCGGGTACTGGAAGGCTACAGGAGCTGACAGAATGATCCGAGCTGAGAACCTTAAGTCGATTGGGCTGAAGAAGACCTTAGTTTTTTACTTTGGGAAAGCTCCAAAAGGAATCAGAACTAGTTGGATCATGAATGAATATCGTCTGCCACACCATGAGTTTGAAAGGTTACAAAAGGTATATATATATATATATATATGCTCCTTTTAGAAATGAAAAATTAGACACCACTAATCCTTGTTTTTGAAGGATGAAATGAAAAAAAGAGACATATTTGGTTTCAATTTATGCATATTGTCTTTTTTTTTTCCAGGTAAGAACATTTTATGCATATTGTCCCTTATAAGTAAAATCCAAAAAGAAAATTGCATTGAATAGTGAGTAACAATTTATTTTCCAATTCAATTTTTATTTTATTGGGTACTCTAATTGATCCTCAATGGATCATCACAGGAATTGAGAGCAACTTGCATGAACTATAGATTCAGTGAACCGAAGACCCCTTTGCTTTAAATAATTCTTGTCACAAAAATTAATGTTTCAGTCATTAGTCCCTTATTCTATATGAAATTGTTTCAATATTCAATGTTATATATATATATATATATATTCTCTTTAATTGGTTCATATATATGTACATTGTTCTCAGCCAGAGATTTCACTGTGTCGTGTGTACAAGAGACCTGGAGTGAAAGACCACCCCTCAATCCCTCCTTCTCTTCCATCCCGGGCATCCTCATCGAGTGGCATCCATTCGGATAAAAAGCTTTCCACTGAGGGATTCCAAGCTTTTGGAGAGCAATCAGAGCAAGTTGAGACCGAAAAAACAAGTGAAACAAGTGGAAGTAGCAGCACTGAAGTTGGGACAGCTCTCGGACTTTCCAAGCACAACTCTTGCATTACATTAGACCCCACGACCGCAACAGTGCTTGCACCGGCATTGGCAACGGAAGAGGATAGGTTGTTGCTCCACCAGTCAAGAATACAAACGTGCTCTTTGTCCCGCGATTGCACCACCATAGTTACAGGCTCCTCTTTGGTTTCGCCAAATGCAAATGATCATCATCATGGTCTCCATGGACTAGTGAACTATCAACAGGCTTCAATGTTGAATCATCAGCAACAATATCATAATCACCATAACCATCTCTTCCAATTCTCTACTTTGCAGCCTCTACCGGGCTCACTTCAAGCTGTCTTCGCTGACAGAATGTGGGGATGGAACTCAATCAGTGAGGAAAACAAGGAGTACACCAGCCCTTTTAAGTAATCAATGAACTGAACATACATACATATATATATATATATTGATAAAATTTCAAATATGATCATCTGTTATTTGTAATCAAATCATTAGCTGGCATGGCTCTTAGCTTTCATGAATATATGAGGTATTGATCAATAATTTATATGCTGCTTTTCTTAGGGCTTTGGTTTTAACAGTACCAAATAAGACCTTGTAGTAACTGGTTGTTTGTAAAAATCCAGTGTTTGCTTAGTTTCATCATGATCACTACTGAAAAATGCTCGATCTTGAGCCTAACAAACAAGTACTGTACTACTAAAATGGTGTTTTGTAAGTGACATTGCTTGATTTCATCTTGATCAGAATTCAATATTTATGGTCTTGAGCATATACAAACAGGTTTACTAAAATGGTGTTTGAATTGTAAGCCAGGTCATTAATCTAGAGGGTATGATCGATATATCTCTCCAACTTAGAGGAGAGGTTGAGAATTCGAACCTCGTTAGGGCAAATATTGTTGATGTGTGCCTGTTTGCTTTAACTTTCGGGAAGAAAAAAAATGGTGTTTGTGAGTGACACCTCTCTCTTTCATTAATTCATCACTGTTAGGCATGAGAAAATGCCATATTATTGATACTTACAAAGTCACCTTCGTGACTGTTGTACATGTAGAAAGTGTTGTACCAGTCCCGCCACAAGGAAACAGAAAGAAGATACAATAAGATTCCCACTTAACTTATTTTGTTGATGCAACCTTGTCCTACTTGCATTGCACCTCACTGCAGACCAAAGAAAAATCATGCAAATTTTATTAATTTCAACTCCACTGAAGAAGACAAGGCTTGTAGACTGATTGATTTTCAATCCGGTGAGATTAGATCGAAAAGATGTCCATATATAGCATTCTTGATGACTGTCACTGAGCTCAAGTCACCATAATGAAGAGAACATTAAAAGATCACCAACAAATGTGATGTGAGTTATGAACACTTTCTTACACCTCCAATGAGATTTGAACGATGTAAGCTTTGAGATAATGGCTAAGAGAATATATATCCATTGCAATTACAAAAAGGAAGGGAGACAAAGGGTCCCCCTTGCCTTAAACCTTTAGCTCCTTGAAAATTTTCATAAAACTCCCACACTACATGATAAAAGAATTAAGGAGAGGTAATACAAGATCTGATCCAATTGATATATTGAAGCAAGAGAAGAGCTTCAAGAATGAAATTCTAGTTCATTAAGGTTAGAAGGGTTGAGAACTTCAGAAAAAAGTGCAATATAGGAATAATTAATTTCTCACAATAGTTTGCAATAATGAAAAAAAAAATCCCTAATTGCTTTGATTACATCTCTACCTACTATATCCCACACTACATGGTGAAAAAAAGAATGCATTGAACCCATCAGGATCTAATTTAGCTTTTTTATGATGTCCTATAGTCTCTCTCTCTCTCTCTCTCTCTCTCTCTCTCTCTTTATATATATATATATATATATATATATATATATTATGTGTGCATGTGTGTGTGTGGACACTATATAACATGTGAATGTAGATGGAAAGGAGCTGAGGATGTTGAGGACATTGACAGGGGATGGGCCTTATATATTGAATCCTAGTTTTTAAGCTTGCAACGCGAGATTGATGTTTTTTTTCCCACTCTTTATTTATTTTGATATATATGTAGGTCAAGTACAGAAAACACCTTTCAAGTATGTTTACAATGTATATTACATCCCTCATGTACAAAAAACACTTGTAAAGTTTTAATTTGGTGCAAATAGGTCACTCTTACCAATTTGAACCCTAATTAACATGACTAAATTACCCTTACTGAACCATTTTATATAAAAATAAATAATTTTATAAAATGACCGAAAAGAACACTATTGGAAGACATCTCTCACGTGCAAAAAAACACTCCTAAAGTTTCAATTTGGGGCATATAGGTCCCTTACAAATTTAAATCCTAAATTGACTAAATTACCCTTGCTGAACTATTTTATAAAATATATAAAAATAAATAATTTTGTGAAATGACCGAAAAGGATACTATTGGAGGACGCTGGCAATGGACAAGTAAAGATAAAAATAGAAAATAAAAAACGAAAATAAAATGCAAACTAAAAAAAAAAAAACAAATCTGCTCCAAACTCCAAAAATCAGTGCACACTAATATTGGGGTTTTTTTTTCCCTTTATTTTATTTTTATTTTTTCTTGTTTAACAGTGTTGGTATGAAAAGAAAAAAGAAAAAGTAAACAACAGTAAACTAAAATCTCAAAACGGGTATTACAACACTAATATATAACACCCTTATACTATGAGATTAGTAGTATATATACTTCCTTGTGCATTTTCTGAAGAGTAAAAGGACAAAACGGGTATTCCAACACTAATTTATGTCAGATTTTTTATTAGAGGGTATTTTTGCATAATGTAAAAAGATTAGGGGTGTTTTTTGCACACTTTTTCAAACAGGATAAAAATGTTACGCGGAGTATACTTTAGAGGTATTTTCTACACTTCTCTCATATATATATTTATAAATATATATTTTAATGAAAAATGATATTTACACCGATTTGTTAGACATATTTCTTTTAATTGATCCATCTATACAACAAATAAAGAAATTTTGTCTCCACTTATATTGTGCATAAATACATCTATGCAGCAAATAAAGAAATGTGGTCTCCACTTATATTGTGCATAAATAATCAACAAGAATATGAAGCATCACTTTTCTATTTTCATAGGACCACAAGGTAATTTCATTGAAAAGGAGCTTTAAAAGGGAATTCACCCTACACGAAGAGATTTATCTAACGCATTATTGCTCTACAGATTATTAAATGCAGGGGCTAAGGCATTGATCAATTAGAGTACGTAAACTAGCTATTTTTTTTTTTTTTGTATCTGCTGTTTTCCTAGTCTCTCGGAGTTTTAGAGTACCTTTAGTTGCTTATGATATTTTACCTTACAAAAATAAAAATGATAAATTTTAACATCTCAATTTGATTTGGTATTATTTAGTAGTTAAATCTCAATTGAATATCATGTTTTTTTTTTTTTATAATTCAAATTTCTTTTGTTTACAAAAATAAAATAAAACAAAGAATGTAGCTACATTCTTTGTTTGAATGATTCAGACCAACTGGGCCTTTTGGGTCTTGTATCATTTATTTTTGTTGGGTTGGATTAAAGGGTTGAGAAGGAATTAAAGAATGGGACATTCCGTGCAGACCCAAGAAATTGACCCATTCTTACTATAAAAAAGAAAAAAATGCACAGAAAGGAAGTAGGGACCCCTGTTTTTTTGGTTGAAGGTTTTTCAACTTAATCATCTTTTCTCGTTGTACCCTCTCCTGCCCGCCACCATTTAAAAGTTTTCATCCCGTCCTCTACCGAAACCACTTAAACGGCTACCTTCCCATCCATCAACTTTTTTATTTTACGGGCGTCTGCCTGCCCCGTTCACTCTCAAATTATTATTTATTTATTTTTTTTAATATTTTTTTCTCAAAAACAATTATATAATTATTAAAAAAAAAACATAAAATGGTCAATCAATAATTTAACGTAAAAATTCAACATTACAAACATTTTATAATGACAAAATGATAATTTAGTGAATGAATATGACTTAAAGTTTTTGGTGCTAACTATATATACTAATAAAAATAAGGGCAATTTAGTAATCTATAAACCTAAACGGGAGGAGTGACCTCCCCTCGCCCCCGCCCCCACACCCGCACCCGCATAAATTTTTACTTCTAAACCTATTCCTGCTTAAAAAACTTAAACGATTCTCCAAAATTGGTATAAACGGAGTGGGGTGGAGCGAGTACCAGCCCTAGCGTGGCAAATTGCCATATCTAGTTATAAAAATATGTAAACTCATCGTAAAAGGATATATTTGAAAAAATCATTCTCAACTATTATAATTAAAAAAAACTAGTTAGATTCTTAAAAAGACATTTTTTATTTTATTTTTGTGGGATAAAGTAATAAAAATGGAGAATGACGAGCTTTACTTTTCCAAAAATGCGTGGATGAAGAAATTTACATCATTTTGTGTCAAGCATCGGAAAACATGTAGCCTTTTCTGGTATTAGCTTATGATCGATCTTATTTACTAATCTATACCATCTATACTTGTATTATTCAAACAATTCATTGGGTCTATGATAGTGAGAAGTGCATTTTCAACTTAGATTAGGACACGTGGCATAGAATAAATAGCAATAAGAGATGATGACCAGGGTCGAACTAATTGTCTGAGATGATCTCACAATCCGTCTAAATTATGAAGGAATTATAAAGGGGTGATAAAATTCAACACAATTTGTTAACACTACTTGAACATGACACTACATGAGTGAATCCATATTGATCTTAATCATGTTTGTATTATAATAATGTCAATTTGTTTTACTTATTTAATTAAGGGCATCATATTCATATTATGAAGGTTAATCTGTTTAATCCAATTAGATCCGTTTAATTGATCATATCAGATAAATCTGATTCATTGTAATTAGTTTTTACTCAATTATTATGAAAATTTCTATTATTTCAATATAAATTCAATACCATATTGTATTTGGTCTTCTATTCTTTTTTTTTTCTTTCTTTTAAATCATTGTATTGTCCTAATTAATCTCATTTTCATGAATTTAATCATCCATTATGTCAATTTTTCATCATATTTGCATTTTATAGTTAATTAATAAATATGTTAAATGAACCATTTGAATTAAACAAGTTAAATAAAACACGAGGACTCCTGATACGATTATCAAACGAATCGTGTGTTTACGTGACATGATTATAATTTCCACATGAATTACCAACTTACAATAAATTCTCAATATATTTTTTTAAGTTCAATTTTGTTAGATGGAAGTAGTAAGAAAAGACTATGGGTCTTTTTCGAAAGGACTTTAACTTGCAATGATGGATCTAAAAATTCATATGAGGGGGATAAATTTATATAGAGGAATTTTTTCATAATTTCAGTGGGGGTAATTTCAAAATTTTATGAGTATAAATGTAAAAAAATATAAATTTAAGAATGTAAAATGTAATAATAAAAAATTTCTGTGGGGGCTGAGCCCACAGTACATCCGTGCCTCATGTAGTATTTAAGTCAAACGCCAAGAAAGTTTTGAAGAAAATTACTTTTCCCAATCTCTTTAATTTCCTATAAAAATTCTTTATAAAAACACATAAAAATTTTGATTTCTTGAGAAAGTTTTATAAACTTACAAAATAAGTTTTCATATTTTAAAAAATATAAATTTAAGAATGTAAAATGTAAAAAAATATAAATTTAAGAATGTAAAATGTAATAATAAAAAATTTCTGTGGGGGCTGAGCCCACAGTACATCCGTGCCGCATATAGTATTTAAGTCAAACGCCAAGAAAGTTTTGAAGAAAATTACTTTTCCCAATCTCTTTAATTTCCTATAAAAATTCTTTATAAAAACACATAAAAATTTTGATTTCTTGAGAAAGTTTTATAAACTTACAAAATAAGTTTTCATATTTTAAAAAATAAATAAATATCATAATAACCAAAATTGATTTTTTTGAGCCTTACTATATGCAATGAAGTGAGAACCCAACAAATAAAGAGAAAGTGTTTTAGATGTGTTTTTAATTGAATAAAATAATTTGCAAGTGTAAAATTAGCATTTAAAATTATAATTTCAAAAACAATTTAACAACAAAGAAGAGAAAGTTCATATAAATAATCAATAACAAACATCATAAAAGTCATTATAATTTATTTATTTTTTAAAAAAAAGAAAAAGAAAAAATAGATATAGGATGTCATCTCTATCCATCGGATCAAGACGGCACACCTTGATCCGACGAAATTCTTGGAAAATAGACTAAAACATCAAATAGGAAACAAGTCAAACTAGTATTTAAAATAAATAATATCCCTTTTCTAATGCACCAGCCAATCATATTTTGCCACGTATAATATATACACCTGTAAGATATATGTATGCGCACATATTATTATTATTAAGACAAAAAGTTTCCACACCAAAAGGAGCAAAATTAATAAAACCCAACCCTTCCCTTCCCGCTGTTTCCTCACATTCTTTTCTTTCAATCCAATTTTGGATCTCTCATACTCTCTCTCTCTCTCTCTCTCTCTACAATTTTTTATTTCTATTTTTTTAAAATTGTATTTGCAATATATATATATACATATATATATATATATATCTATAGTAAGAAACCCTAGAAACCTAATTTTATCACATTGCTTTTGATTCTCGTCACTATCAGGTGGAAACAGCATTAGGTATTTAGATTTCTGAGGGGATTATATATTTATAGGTTTATATATAATAATTTGAATTTTGTGAGGAGATAAGAGAATGGAGGGGACACCGAATTTGGCTGCGAGAACAGTAGAGGATGTGTTTACGGACTTCAGAGGCAGAAGGTCTGGCTTGATCAAAGCTCTAACCACTGGTTCGTATTCAATCTCTGTTGCTCCGAATTGAATACACATACACATACATATAAGTGTGTGTGTGTATATATACATGTTGCTTTTTGTTATTTTATTTTATTTTTTTCTTTTTTAATTTGATATGGATTTTTGCTGATCATGGTGTTTGTGTGTTGTATTATGGCAGAAGTTGAGAAGTTCTATAAGCTGTGTGATCCGGGTGAGTTACTTTTTTTTGGCTGGTTCTTAATTACTTTTTTTTGCTGGTTCTTAATTCTATGAACTTGATTATGATGATAGCCATTAAATAATATTAATTGGGCTATTAATTGTTAGGTTTTTGGGGTTTTAGTATAATTTTTAGTTAGATTACCATATTAGTGCTTTTGATTTTGTCAACGTCAACTATTTAAATTACTAAGTTGACAATAGCATGACCCATGTTCTTGGATGTGACAATAGAGAGTGCCAATGCTATGTTGTTTTTAAGGCTTACAAGAGCCAAATAGGGTGTTTACAGTTCTCTCTCTCTGTGCAGTGCATGCTTTCCAGTTTGTTTTTTTATTTCTTGGTATACTTTTTTTTATTTATTTATTTATTTTTTTTATTTATTGGCATGTGCTGCTTTTTATTTACTGCTTAGTAGAGTATTTTGAAGCTTTTTGATCAGAACAGCTGATAAAAGTTTGTTACCGGCAATTTATTGTCACAGGAATTACCTATAACTTCCCCAATACAGCTAAGAACGTGGGTCTGTGTGACTTCCTGTCTGGATTTTCAATCACTAGCATGTAGTCTTCTGGGATTGATTTTCTTTAATGAGAATAGACAATGATTTATTTATCTATTTTTTATTTAATTATTTTTTGTATGTCAACTTGGTATCAACTGTATCGTAGTTGCAATTTTCAGTTAAGGTTAACCATTTACCTTTCCTTCTTTTATGAGTCGTAGTGCATACCTGCTATTTTTACACTATAATTATAATTGAAAATTGTTAAAATTGTTGATATTATTTTAAGAGAAGTTTTTGTTGATTTAGATAAATTAGTAGCACATGATGGGCTGATGTTCTTTGATGAACAAATGTAGCATCGATGAGAACATCTATTAGAAGAAAGAATGCAGATGAACATTCAATGTCGCTGGTTATACATTTAAGAATTTGTTGTATGAAAGAGTGTGATTCTGCCCAGTTAAAGATGGAATTGCTTGTTGTTTTTAAAGATATTGGTGTTGTGCTTGTAGAGAAGGAGAACCTGTGTCTATATGGACTTCCAAATGAGACATGGGAAGTCAATCTGCCTGTTGAGGAGGTGCCTCCTGAACTTCCTGAGCCAGCACTTGGTATAAACTTTGCTAGGGATGGGATGCAAGAGAAGGACTGGTTATCACTTGTTGCGGTTCATGGTGATTCTTGGTTGCTGTCTGTTGCATTTTACTTTGGTGCGCGCTTTGGGTTTGATAAGAATGAAAGGTAATTTGTTTTCTGGAACTTAACTAGACACTCTGTATCTTCTTATCTTGTTGGGATGTCTGATTTTCCAGAGCAACTATGGTTATATGTTCAATAGTTGTGGTCTGCAGAACAAGTCCTGCAATACTACTCATATTATCAAGCCGCTTAGAGCATGATTTATTGTTTAGGCTTCCTCCTCCTTCTTCATTTACTATGCCATAATAGCTATTGCATTCTCAAATTTTAAGGGATTTGATTTGGAATTGGGTCGACTCATCCCTGCTATTAGAATTGTCTTGATCTGAGAGGGAGATGATTCTGTACTGAAGATGTGTTACAGCCAGACGCTGAAGCTGGGTTTATTTTTTTATGTTCATCTGTTTTCTGGACATTGTCCTTTGGTTATCTGGTGTCAGCACATAAAAATTCTGTTGCCATAGAATTTGCTCCATCATGTTCATTCTATAGGTTACATATACTTTGGTTTTCTAAAATTATTTTCATCAGGTTTAAGGCTCCGTATGACATGATACCCGTAGTTTCTTTGCACAGCATGAGTTTCAAGTCACTCAAACAACAAATACATTTACATATTGTAGCTTTCTTAATAGTGTCCTTCACATTTGCTCCCTTTTTGTGGTCTATATGATTGGTTGATTTCTTTGGAGATTCTGGCCATCAACTGTGGATATTAACTCTCTTATACATCTTCATATGAAATTATATTTACTTTTTTTCTTATCATTATTTTGGTCTCAGACTTGGTCTTTTTCATTTTCTTTTTATATAGCTTAATCAACCATCCTGGTGTCATTACCTCACACTTTGTGACAATAAACATCAGATCTTATTCAAATAGTGAATAAATAAATGGAAACAGTTGATTGAAAGTTATAATTGATATGAATTTACTGTTAAGTGGCTTGAGTGAAATTAAAACTTTTATCCGTGGTGAATTTCATGAAACTCTGTCAATTATGTTGGTAAGTGTTATTTCTGGTTATGACTTCATTCTGGAGTTTTTTTTTTGGGTAACTTTAGATGCCAAGGAGAACAAAAAGGAGTATTCTGTGTTTATGAGATTTTTGGTGTATCTTTGGGAATGACATTAGTGCTTTCTTTTATTGTCACTGTACCTTCTTTTGGGAGTTGATCTATCTGCTGTCATTTCGATTTTAATATATTTTTAAATTTTTTATTTCTAGCTATCAGTTTAGATACCTCTCATTTTTAAAATGTATATGATTTTTTGATAGGATGCTTGCTTCAACTTTAAAGGTTTTATTAGGAAAAAAAAGAAAGAAAGAAAAGAAGGTGCTTGTTTGCTTTCTTAATTGCATTAAATGAGGCCTGAACTAAATTCTGGAGAACTGCTTAGTAATGGGGGTTGCAAATGAAATTTCTATTTTTAGTGAACACATGGATAAAATAAATCAATCTGCCATTCAATACAATATGCCTCTTTGTTTTATGAGTGTGTAAATTCTGTTTGGAATTTCCTGAGGTTTCTCTTTAAACTTTGACTTCTGTTTACACTCTTGCACATTGATAATTCCACCATGGGCTGATTTTCACGGAGGTAGTAGTAATTTTAGTGACTGTTTTCTCCTGTGGCTATAGAGTTAGCAGATTATTGGAAGTGACTCATTTATACGCATTTTGTTCAGAAAATTTTGATAGGAGGCTAATTTATAAAGTTAACATTTCTTATATATCTATGTTATATTTCCCACTGGTTACATGCAGAGTTTTAGCTTATGGATGCATGATGCCATTTGTTTACTTCTCTCGATTTATGATATTATAAGATTCTTGATGGATTTAGCTTGCTGGAGACCATTTTTTCCTTGTGTTCTTTTTTATGTCACGGGACTGAAACAATAAGTTCATACTTTGCATAAGCCTTGGTGTGTAATGTTGTTGCTATTGGTATTCCTGATTTGGAATTCCAGTCAATTAGAGTCACCATCATATCAAATGGATCTCCCTGTCCATGCGTGTGTGTGGCGGTACGCTTGTTCTTATACTTTGTTTGCCTTGTCAAGGAATTATATGTTTTAGATAAACTGTTTGTTTAGAAAGAAATAGTTTGGATACTAAAGTACAATTGCTTATAAATTAAGATTTGGTGATAATAATATAATGAGAAGGAATTTATTTGCATTTAAGGAAAATCTGTAAATTTTTTTATTTACTGGAACAAAATGTTGATGTATTTTGTTCTCTGATTCTGCTGTCCTTGTCAAATGATTACATGTTATGGATAAATTATTGGTTTGGGAAGAAAAGTATGAATACTGTAGTACCATTGCTTGGTAAATTAATAATTGTTGTTAATATTATAGTGAGTAGGAAATATTTTGCATTTAAGGAAAATGTTTATATATTTTTATTTACTGGAAGAAAATGTTTTTACTTTTTGTTTTTTGCTAATATACATGTATTTTTTTGTTAAAAAATATAGATTTTATTTTGCAATTTCATGAAGATCATGTTTCTTATTTTCTGTAAGGTTGCTCCGTTAGTTTTTTTCTCCTTTTATCATATGGGTCCCTCATATCATCTGTAAGGTTGATATTATTTATTTCATGAAGATTGTGTTTATTATTGTTTTCTGTAGGGTTGCTAATATACATGTATATAGTCACGTTTCTTACTTTATGTAAAGTTGCACCATTATTTATTTTTCTCCTTTCATCATATGGGTCCTCATATAAAATGTAAGGTTGATGTTATTTATTTCACGAAGATCTTGTTTATTATTTATTTTTTGTAAGGTTGCTAATATACATGTATTCAAAAATGATCTCTTGCACACTAGTGAGCAAGAAATTTATCCACACCAAGTATAATGACCGTTGGATATGATTGCTATATTTTTTTGGTAACTACCTTTTCTTACACTTGAGTCATATCCAATGATCATTATGCTTGGTGTGGATATATTTCTTGCTCACTGGTGTGCAAGAGATCATTACTGTAAATGTATATAGAGAATTTAAATATACTAAGGAAAAAGAAGCTTTTTATTTATTACTAAAAATCACTTGTGCATTTCTAGGGTGCCTAGAATTAGGGCTACAAATGAATGAGCCGTTCATGAATAGTTCTAGCTTGTCTTATTTGAAGCTTGTCCATTAATTAGTTGTACAAAGCTTGAATCATTGTTCCAAGCTCGATTTTCAAGCCAAAGAATTCTGGGAATTTTTTTTTACCAAGATTGTTGGAGATCTCTTAGAGTTAAAATCATGAATTTTCATAGACTTTATTTGGGTGTTAAACAGTTTGTTAAAGCTCGTGATGAAAGCTTGGGTTTGTTAAAGCTTAAAGAATGAATCAAGCTCTATTGACTTGTTAGGGAGTTGTTTTAGGCCCAGCTTGTGTGAATTTGGAGAACATTATTGAGCAGTCCGATACTCAAAATTTTGTCCACTCATTTTCAGGCTTTCAGCCTGCCAAAAGTTGGAACTCAATCTATATAGGTCAGAGAAAGAAAAAGGGGTGTGACTATCCTATGTTTAGAATTTCTCATGACTTGGAAATGGAAAAAAGGAAATAATCAAAATTTTAATTGTGTAGCCATGAATTTTAGAAAGTATGCATGTATTTTGGTAAGGTTTCCCAAAATCATGAACACGAGTTTCTACCCCCTTCCTCTCTTTATGTAAAAGAAACTTTTCTTGAAGTAAATTGTTGAGGTGAACATCTATTTAATGTGGTTCTTATTTTTGGCCTTCTGAACCATGGTTAGCCATGTGCTTTTCCTGCATTTGATCATTTTGCTTGAACATTTGCATTAGTATATACCTTATATAATTGATTGGTTTAGAAACTTGAATTTTGTGTCAAATGATATTGATTCTTGGACAACAAATTTACTTGTGGTGTAAGAAAACCGTGGGTTCCTCATTCTATTGTGCATTTAACAAGGTATGGATTTTTTTAACTCCCCCATGGGTAGTTAGATAACTAGAGTTTGAATGAAGTATACCCCTAATTAGAGTGGACTTTCTATAGGCTCATATATATGCTCTTATGCAGTAAATTCGATCTTTTCCCAGTGTAGCTAATGTAATAATTATGTATGCACTTGTCATTGCTAGTTTCAATTAGTAATGTTTTGTTTTAGAACATTAAAATTCCTATAAAACTTTGGTTTGCTTCATCAATGTTATTTGCTTTTGCTTATCAAAGTATTCTAAAGTTGCCTCAACTCTCCTTAGATGATACTTTACATTTGTGATACGACTTCATTTTGTGTTGTCAAGGCCGAAACTTTTAGTATCCACCGTTAACGTAATATTAAATAATTGCATATGATGAAGACACTTTAATGTCATTATTTTTAGCCATTGTTGTGTCATACAGAGATTTGAGTGCATGTGATACCAAGGAATAATTGGCTACAGCTTGAGAGTTTTGAGTGAAAATCGGGATGGCGAAAGACTTACCAAAAAAAAAATAAAAAAATGGGGATGGCAATGGATAATTCTGAATGGTTAATCAATAAAGTAAATGGTAGAATTAGATATTAAGTCAGAGTTGAATAAATGTTGACTTATTGTGGAAATGTGAGTTGAGCTAGTCACCCTAATTATTCGTTGCAAGGGCAAGGATAAAAATCTCTTTTTTTTTTTTTTGTTGAAGCTTTTTAGTTTAAGTTATCTTATTTGGATATGTAGGAGTTAGTAATTTTCTTTTAACAAAGAATTTGAGACTAAACTGGAAAAAGCAACTCTTAGATTGGAACTGATGCATTATATATCCTGCTTAAGGGTGCATTATTTTGAGAATGCAATTGGATAAACTTTTTAATTTCCAACTGACCTAAACTCTGATTCTCGTTTATACTACTCATTAGACAAAATAAATTTGTGCTGGTGGAGTAAAACTTTAACATGCACCAAAGACACCACTATCTAATATGGAAATTGCTTGCCACAAGTAAAATTTTGGCCTTGTTATTTTATGAAACATTGTTTCGATTACAGTTCGACACCATCTTGCTTACAATTGAGCTTTCTGCATTCTGTAATGCTCACTTCACTATGTGGCACTTCAATATGTGGATCTTCTTGCTTTGAATAAGTTACAATATTATTTTAGTGGTCATCTTTTGGCCTTTTGCAAAGCACAACATTTATTCGGGCTTTCTCTTAGCCCATTGTCCATTGCCTTCTGGAAAAACATTCTGCGATCACGTTGACAATTAATTATATCAGTTGCAGAACAAAAACTAATGTTGAGGCAAATTGGACAAAACAACTGGTATAATATCCTTCAAGGCCTAGATTATAGAATCCTTTTATCCACTGAAGGAATTGGATGTTGCCTTCACTAGGGATGTTGCAATATATTGCTTATGCATTTCCTCAAAATTATTTCAGGAAAAGGCTTTTGTACTCGAGTTTACTCTAACTTTGGTTGGAATCGGAAATTACAGGAAAAGGCTTTTCCAGATGATAAATGACCTTCCAACTGTATTTGAAGTTGTCACATTAAATGTTAGGCAGTCAAAAGACAAATCGGCTGCTAATGACAACAGTGGCAAAAGCAAAACAACTGTAAAGATGGTAAGTATTCTTGCTTTGTATAAATTTATTAATTTTCTTTCATCTATTTATTTGCCTCCATATTTCGTGTCATTTTTTTATCTTATGATTTTTTATTGCTGTTTTTAGCAATCTAGGCAAGCTGATCCCCAGCCTCGGGGAGTAAAAATGTCTCCTCCACCTAAAGATGAGAACGAGAGTGGGGAGGACGAAGAAGAAGATGAGCAGGCAGCAACGCTGTGTGGAGCTTGTGGATTAAACACCGGCAGTGATGAATTCTGGATATGCTGCGATGTGTGCGAGATATGGTTCCATGGCAAATGTGTAAAGATTACACCTGCAAAGGCGGAGCATATCAAGCAGTACAAGTGCCCTAGTTGCAGTAGCAAGAGGGCTAGAGTTTGAATCTAGATTCTGAAGTGGGAAAGCAACAACAATCAAACGAGGCACAAAACATTTAGAATTTGTTTATACTTTTTCTAAAGGGTACAAGGCAAAGTAGTGATTACTCTAACTATGCTTCTCTATTTGTTTAAATTCACTGGATCGTATATTCTAACGATACACTCCGCTGCTAGACTTATAAATAGAAGGTAGTGCAATTTTCTTTCGGTTTTGGTTTGATTGCATAATGTTGTGTTTGTTCCTGCATTTTCATAGACATAAATTATATAGAGCCTTTATATAGCAATTAGCACTAAATTTGTATGGAGATTTTTTAGGTTGTTTTGCAAAAATGCAATACATAGACCTTCTTTGGCTGCATATCTAGGACATATATTAAACCTGATTTTAAGTCTCCTGATATGATTATGTTGAAATAAATTTGTTGTAAATGGAAGTGAAATGCACATATCTTTATTGAGCTCATTTGATGGCAAATAATTGGCAGGGGTAAGAGTTCATTTAGAGAAAAATTGTGAATGCCATTTCTTTAGTTGAAAAGCAAAGTGTGTTACTAAATATAAGGGTACAAGTGGAGAGTCTACGTATAGTCTTTTCTCTCAAAGTAATTATAGAATGACAATTAAAGATTAGAAACAAAGTTTGACGTGACTTGGGATTAGAGAAATTTTAGTATAAATTTTAAACTAAAGTTATGGTCGATTGCATGAAGTTAGAGCTTTGGAATTTGAATTGATGGAATTGAATAAATGGAGCTCGGAAAATTGAACCAAATTTTTTTCCAATTTCATCAATCCTAATTTCAAAGCTTCAATTCAATGCAACCGAGCATAATCCTAATTTTTTTTCAATCCCAAATTCAAAATACTGATGAGCGGAATAAACCAGTAATAATATGACAAATTTAAAATCATTGAAGATGCTTGGAGAGGATCTTAATAGGGAAGAATCTGGACGTTTGTAATTTGGCATGGCACTAGATTAAGGATCGAGTCCATTCTATCGCATCGGTCGATACGTGATGTATCGGCTGATTTGTAATATGTTTTTAAGGGTTCGATACTATTACATATCTTCATGAACCGATCAATTTGACCGGTTTATACCGATATTCTTTCGAGTCCATTATATTTTGCTCGCGACTAATATTGCAACTGTAAACCATGACTCTAATATTAATTATAATAAGTCTATTATTATGTAAATCCGGTGTTCGACAAGAACCTACAAGAACCCGCTAAAGCTAGACCAGAAGAAGTAATGATACAAAGTGGGCTAGTTTTCGGGTGGGCCAAATATTTAGTGGGAAACAATACTCACAAGTAATATTCAACTAATTAACCTATACTGCGGACATATAGAATTATAGATACATATCTAGAGAGAGAGAGAGAGTTCGATAGAGAGAGAGAGAGAGAAATGGGGAAGCCATTGGGACCAACAGGGGAGTTCTTCAGGAGGAGGGACGCGTGGAGGAAGCATCCGATGGTGACGAGTCAGCTCCGCCACGCCACTCCCGGCCTCGGCATCGGAGTCGCCGCCTTCGTTATCTATCTCATCGGCGAAACCGCCTACAACAAGATCTACGCTCCTTCTCACTCCCATTCCGAGTCCTCTTCTTCTGTTTCTGTTTCTCACTCTCACTGAGAAGAAGACACCCGTCTCAGGTCAGTCATGTATACCCTTTATATAATTTATTTGTCCACATATCTTAGAAATTTTGTTGTTTGCTTCTTATTTATGTGAAATTAGGGTTATCTATGTACTGTTGTTTGTAAAGAAATTTTGTTGCTTGCTCCTCATTTTTCTGAAATTAGGATTTGTGTCGAGAGACGGTGGAACCCAAGTCATGTTATCGTTATTTGTTGTATCTAGAAGAGCAACTTGTATGCAAATTGATTTTTTTTTGGTCTTGATTTATCTTTATCTTTATTTAGATGCGGTGTAGAAACAATTCATGATATTAGGTGCAAGTTCCATTTAAAATTGATTTCTTATACCGAATGAGACAGAGAGCCAGAGTATTACCACTATATGCATGACGAAATTAAAGTCAGATTATGTCCCTTGCAAGAGACTTTGGCCCGGCATATCACCACCAAGTCCTTAAATTGCAGTGTTGCTTACCATTATGGTAGTGGTCATGCAAACATGAGGTGCCGTGAACGTTGCTCACAAAGTCAGATATTGGAGGTCATGATTTTTTTTAATCAATAGAGGCATGCACATTCTATCGACAAATTTACATTAATATAAATTTTTTCTTCAATGATTGTGTTAAATTTATTACCATTTTAGTAAGGGTGATAAAAATTATAGAGGCTTTTAGTATTGACTAATTTTTATCTTTCACTACTTTTAGGACCATAACTTTACCCCAAAAAAATAAATTAAATGCCATTGTTAAAACATTTCCAACCACACAATTGTCTCGCGGACACAGAAATGAAAAAATTTAGAGGAGTATATTTACAGGGATCTATATTGGAAAAGCCGTACTTGGGTTCACGGAAAACCTTCTGTAAACTAACTTCAAACATAGTGCTAAGTTAGAGATGATAAATCTAATTTAAATAAATTCAAGAAAAGGTGAAAGAAAAAAATTACGAGAAAGGAGAAAAATGTCTTAAACGGCCTTCATAACTTTTCACTTGATACAAGGCAATTAAGACATCGTTATTGGCCTTTATGCCTGTTATGGTGTCAGTCTGTCAGATATAACGAGGTTGTGACGTGTTTGTTGCCTTGCTATCCTTTTGTGTTACATGACTGCTGTTCTTTTAAAACTTTCATATGACATGGATTTGTCTCTGGATAATTTCTGAGAGCATGAAATTGCAACTGATTTGAGAATCATCTTGATGTTGAAGTGTTACATGATTATAGTGTGTCATCGAAAGATCTTGGAGGTACTTGAGATCAATGATCTACCTATAAGGGTTTGAAATTGGCTGTTGAAAGGTAGAAGATATTAGTGAAGCAAACTGGGTTTCAACAGTATTCTTGAGGTAATGTACTTTTACCACAGTGAGATAACTGATTATTCGCTCATACATGAATCATAAAATCAGTGATACAATATATCAAGGAAAACCTCTAGATTGGGTCGAACAGAAAGTGCTTGGTCTAAATTGTTGGATCGGGTTACAAATATGTGTCTGAAGTTGTCAATGGTCCTGAAACTTTAAATTAGATTTCTCTGTTACGGATTATTGATGTCGTACGCTTGGTTTAGAAGTGAAATGAAGATGCCTGGACTCTGGAGTGTTATGTTGGTAAATTCATATGCTGAAGACTCCATCAGATGACAAGAACTTGAAACATGCTAACATGGGTTCTATAGCCTGGAATACTTAATTTAAAGTCCATCATTGGGGATCAGAGATGAGAAATTCTTACCAAGGCAAACACCAACTAGGAAATATTCCCATCACGTTGCAATGTAATCAAGTGGAGATGTTGGCTGGTCTTGATTGGGTTATCACACTTAAACATCTGCCGCACATCAAGTAGGGTTGCAGAGTATTGTGGTGGTTGTTTCCTATTAGGATTAGTGAAGGGATTATTTGAATTTAAACAACCAAATTAATAAACATATGTGAATCCTTATGAAGAGTTGTGACAACGTCCTTGTTCACATAATTACTTGATGCCTATTTGCAGCACAGGAATGCCCAATTATGGCATACTGCTGCAAACAAAATAACCAATGTTCTTCTTCCTTCTCTCTTTGTAGAAACCCTTCCGTTGTTATATACAGCATGCCTTTCTGTTTTTATCATCTGGGACCGACTTATACTTGCATCTTTTTCTAATTTATCTCTTTTTGTTCACATTGACTTCCTTCTAAATCTTCTAATTACTGATTGAGTGGAGTTTACATGAAAGTATTACTTCTTTTTTTTTTTTGTCTGTTATCTTTAAATGTTCTTTTGGTTTAAATTTAGTTATACAAGTTCTACTGAAGTGTAAAAGTTGAAGTTTCATTACCTTTTGCATGATTTGGCAATTCAATGATGATGAACTCTTAGAGCCTGGTTGGAATTGCTGTTGGACAGACTAAAAATGCTTTATAATTTTAATATTCTCTTTTAGCTGTGTTTGATCGAGATTTTGTCTTAGTAGAGCTTTTAGCCAAATCTTAAACTTGGGGCTTTTTACAAGTAGGGGCAAAATATTTATAGAAGAAAAAAAATATTTATAAAAAGTGGTTTATATTGTGTCACTAAATACTATTTAATCTTCAAGAGACAGCACTCTTATGACAGCTCTACATAAAAGAAGTGTTTGTTATAACCTACAACAACGCCAAACGGACCCCTAATAATATTCTGGCTAATTTGCTGATGTTAATGTTCCTTTTTATCAACAGATAAAATTAGTACTGTTTTTTAATTTTTCCCCAGAATTATTGCTTGTTTTGGTCTCCCTTTTCGCCTCTCATTTACGGTCAAATAGTTAGAAATACAAAGCATGGAGTTATATGTTGGTAGTTAAGAGTAAGATTTTGGGTTCATGTTACCCGTAAATGTTGGTTTGCATTAGAAGCAATATTAGAGAACAAAACTGCAACCCTGATATAGATATTGAAAATTCTGCATTGGTTTTTCCATCCATTAAATTGGATTGGCGCATTATAGTCAATACATTCTCAAATAAGCAGATACTGATCCATGCAAACCAAATATAGCATCTCTTAATATATTTTCTTCCTTTTGCTGGTTTGGCCCCTTCCCATTCTCTTTTGTGGCTTGCCCTTTATAGTACTTAATATATATTATTCCTTGTACTCCTCATTTTCTTTCATGTCTTGGCCTTTGAAACACTAAATCTGTTTTCTGCAAATTGATTCATTGAATGACTGGTTGTACAGATAAATGCTTGGAGCGAGGAGCAAAGCCGTCTGATAATGTATTGCTGTTTTTGCTGCTTATGTTTCGGTGTTCAATAAAGAATTTCAGTTGACATGAACTTGTTGCCTTTAATTAGTTGGGAATGTGACAGACCTTTGAATGGTGGTTTGAAGAGCAGTCTGTTTCTGTTACTACTTCACCTGCTTGCCATTTCTCAGACATTTTATTTCGTTGTTTTCTTTTTCTTCTGTGGTTTCCTTTTTTTTTATTTTTTTTTCCCCCCCTCTTTTCTCATGCCACCATTCTTGATTACTCGTGCAACTATCCGACATTTGAATAAAACTGTGTTTGGATTGTCATCTGGATAGTTTATGCAGAAGTGCACTAACAAGAAAAGGCTTACACAGTGAAATTGGCGTATGAATTTGGAAAGGCTAAAAGTAGCTCCAACGCGGGCTTGTTTAAGCGATTCTGGGCCAGTTTGGCTATTGGACTCCTCCAATGGATTTGCCAAAATTTGGGCCCACCCAATGGGTCGCGGAAAACTGCGACTCTCTTGGCGAGCCATGGGCCCGTGTCAGGTTTGTTTTAATTTTTTTTATTCTGGGCCAGAACAGTTTTTAGCCCAGAATACTGTTCCTAAGGCTCTGTTTGCTTAAAAAGTATATATATATAGATTTTTGGCTTGCTTTGGCTCTCTCTCTCTCCGTTAACAATGCCTTGAAGGCTTTTTTGAGCAAAAAAAAGTTTTAAAAAAAAATAAAAATAAGTGACTTTTTTTTGAAAAATTTACTTTTTAAAATATTCCTTCTGACATATAACCGTTTTAGGCACTGTTTGGGTTAACGGCTATATTGGCTCATTTTTGAATTTATTTAAAAAAAAAATAATTATATATATATTTAAAAAAAAAAAAAAAATCTTTCATTTTTCCTCTATAAATATATCAACCCCTACTATTATTCACCTCATATCCAACCCATCTTCTCTAGTCTTCAATCTACAATTATAACCGTTAAGTCATTTTCTTAATCTTTTAGTTATATGGATCTTCCACCACCATATTACAACTACAACTCCCAATTCAACCAATCAAATGATAATTTTGATCCCTTTTTTATTTGTTAGAGAAGATTTCAATTTGGTGGAGAAGAATCCGTAACTCCCAACCTCCCAGAAGGCAAAGGGCTATTCAGCCTCCAAATTGGTCCACAGTTGAAGATGAGGTTTTATATTATGCGTGGATGGCCATTAGCACTGATGCAGTCATTAGTTCAGACTGGGGCTGTAACTTGGGCGGGTTGAGCGGGCTAGAAACTTAATTCGGGCTCATACCATGTACAAAATCTTTTGCCCAAACTTAGCCCGAGCCCCCCTAAAGCCCAATCCCAGCCACCCAAGCCCAGCCCATAATTAATTTCTCCTGCCCAAGCTCGCCCATGAGCCTACACCTCTGTATTCAGAATATAAAAAATAAGAAATTTGTGTAGCTATAAAGACTCAAACAATATTCCTCCAAGAAAAATTTCAAACACACTACCAACTAAGTTATTATACACTTGTGAAATAATATAGTTTTAAAATAAATATATTCTTTCTGGGCTTGGGTTGGGCTTCGGATTTTGTATAATATCAACCCAAGCCCGACTCGAATTTAATTCGGGCTCAGAATATCTAGCCCAAGCTCAAACCTAGAACAGAAAAACACTGCCCAAGCCCTAAAAATTTCGGGCTGGGCTCGGGTAAATTCGGGTTGACCCAGCCCGAGTTGCAGCCTTAGTTCAGACCAACAAAAGGCAGCATTATGGATCCGAATTCAAGAAAGTTTTGAGCAACACGTTAGTAGTGCTGGTACACCTAAAAGAAATCAAATCGCCTGCTTGAATCGTTGGTCCTTCATGCAACAAATAATTAACAATTTTTCTAGATGCATGGCCCAGATCGAAAGGAATTACCCGAGTGGGCAAGACAATGAGTACAAGGTAAGTTATTTATTATATTAAATTTAATTGGTAGATATTTTAAATCTTTATCTTCTAATAATTATTGATTTTTATTTTTTTAGATGATAGCAGCCAAAAAGTTGTTCGCTCGTTAAAATAACACCAAATTTAAGTTTGATAGTTGTTAGAACATTTTGAAGAGCAACAATAAATGGCATTTACGTTGTCAAAAAGAATTGACATCAAAAAAAAAAAAAAAAAAAACAACCGTAGAAGAGAAGTGGAATCCACACTGATGATAGTAAGCCTATTGGTCACTCAAACCCATCTACTCCATCAAATAATGCAGCAACGACACCAAGTTAGGTTGAAGGATCGGCGCACATAGGCGAAAATGATCTAACGGATGTTGAAGAATGTTAGCGACTAGAAGGATGAAAAGTAGCGAAGCAAAGGCGAAATAAGGATAAAAGACAATCTGAAAGTCAGAATGATTTCATTAGCAAATTCGATCATGCAACAGCCTTTTATCAAAAACAATCTGAAACTCTTGAAGCCGCTCAAATAGCACAAGAGACATGCAAAGCAGATAAAGAAAAGACTAGACAACTCGAGCTTCAAAGCAAACTAAAAGAGATTGAAAACAAACAAAGAGCTGAAGAGATGTTAATCATGCAAAAAGATCCAGAATCGATGCCAACACAAGCCTAGAAATCATGGTTAATTGAATGCCAAAATGAAATATTAGCATTTATACGCGCACGCGGTAACTCAAGCTTTCCATAGGATTATCTCAAATATTCCATATGATTGTTCTGTTTTTCCTAGTTATGTTTTGAATTCATGTCGTATTGTATTGTTTTTTATTTTTATTGAATTGTTTAAATTTATATCGTATCGTATTGTTTTTAATAATAAATATTGTATTGTTTAAATTTTTTTGTATGATATAGCCGTTTTAAAAATATAGCCATTAGGAAAAAGTTAAAAAATAAAATTTATTAAAAATTTTAAAATATTAATACTTTTGGAGAGCGAAAATGTACCATTGGAGTACATCCGATAGCTAAAATTTGGAGACTTTAAAACGTTGACGTGGCTATGAAAAATGCTGACGTGGGTATTGAAAAATATTGATGTGGCAAATTCGAAGAACCCATTGGAGATGCTCTAAGTGGTTGATGGGACTTGGGACCGTCCCATTTCTATGGAACTCGTAAGGGTATTTTTTATTTTTATTTTTTTCTTTCGAGAAATTATGTCATACAATACACTTCAGGATATTCAAACTCTATAACCTTAATTTTCAAAATAGAGAAAATATCACTAGATCACAAACCAAACCTTGATAATATAGCTTTCATTTTTTGCCTTGCTATCTACTCTCTAAGAGTCCCAACTCCCAAGTGTCTGCCTTTTCTTATTTGGTTGTCCTGAAATAATTGTTCTACATTAAAAAGTCAATGTATTATTTTTATTGTCATTTCAAATTTATCCTTACATTGAACTTATAAAAATAAAATATTATCGTATCATTTGTTCCCATTATGGATAGATTGAATAATTCGTTTACTATCAATATTATTAAAAAATAATAAAAATTACATTTTAAAAAGTTCGGTTTTCAAAAAGTGCCCTTATAAGAATAAGGCTCATTGTACTGAAAATTGATTAAATCTTTCGCCAGATTGTGGTCGTCCTCCTCCTAGACCGCCGGATGCTGTTGCCTGTGCTCTCAATTCAGCTTTCTTTGCGCCGCCGGAGTTTCGAATTTCATTTGCTATCATCATCAGTTTCAAGGATCTATTAGCAACAGCATCTTAAATTTGAATTTTCTGTTCTTGGACGGGGCTTGCCATGCTTGGGCTATAGGTTGTTGTATTGGGCCCAATTTTTTGGGCTCCTTTTGTTTTGGATATTCTCTTTTAATGGGCCTGCATCCTTCCCTGTCCAGTTTTCAATATTCTTGCTTGATTTTTTTTTTTTTTTTTTTTTTTATTATTATTTTTTTTTATAAATAAAATAAAGTAAAATAAGGCTCATTTTCTTTACAGGAGATTAATTTCACCATGGATTATGGTATGAAAGAGAGTTAAAAAGTGGTGTAAGATCTTATTTTTTCTAAAAAAAACCTAAAAGATCAATCATCGAGTTGAGCTTTTTTATAGTGTTAAAAATATGGATACTTAACACTCACCCCTCTGAAGTTTGGACAAATTATATATTAGTAGACTTTATAGTATTTATTACTTTGATCTTGTTTAAGACTTCCCTAAAATTTTCTTTTCAGCATACATGTTGACCAAAATCTTGTCATTTTCTTCTTTAAAAATTAGGGCATTACTAATTTCATGCACCCAAAATCACCTTTAGGCAACCTGCTAATGAATTTAGGGGATGTCAAAATAATAAACACCTAATGATCTACCCGCGTGTTCGTTGCTCAAAACTTTAAAGAGCTAATGTAGTTTACAACACTCTTTTTAACTGTTGTACCACGGACAAAAAGGGAAAGAAAAAAGAAAGACATGGATGTGAGAGTGTGAGAGGGATAGTTAATTAAAAAAAAATATATTGTTGTGGACACAAAAAATTGAGCTTAAAGTTAAAAAGGCTTGCCTTGTTTTTTTTTTTTTTTTTTTTTATGTTCTACAGACCGCGTTTGGGCCAACAAGCATTGAGTTGTATACTGATTCGCGCTTTTATAATGGAAGAAAGAGCTTTGGCACTGTTTGACTTAGTTGACTTGACGAGGTCTTCTTCTTCACTAGAGCGCAAAAATCCAAATTGAAGCGATATTTCATCGGCAAGACAGGTAACTTTTGAATTGCAAAAACCCATTTTTAACTTCGATTTGTAATGAATGGTTTTTGTATGTTATGCATTTTATTTACTTTTATTAGTGTTTGTGGTTTGAATCTCTATTTGTTGTTGCTGTTGAGTTGATTGTGGTTGACTTGGTACAATGCTGTTCTTTATGCATATATATATATATCTATATATATTTTGTATACACACATATACATCTACATATGTATATGTAGGTTTGGCACTGGTTGTGAGATTTACTTAAACCAAAAGAGTAGATAGAGATCCTAATTGTTCCATTACATTAATCCCAACTAATATGTCCTTAATTGGTTTTAAATTTAGAAGTAGTTCATCATTCTTATTCCAAATTTCTTTAGGATCTGTTTTGATTGCAGATATAGTGAAGGAAAGGGGGGAAATGCACAGAAAATTATTTTCCCTTTACCAAAGGCTTGTAGCCTAGTGGTAAGGAAGATGAGGGTTGGAGACCCTCTGAAAAATGGTGCCTGAGTTTCTTGCCAATAAATATATAGATTTCCCTGGAAAGCAAGGGAGAAAATAAAGTACAATGGAATAGTTTCCTTTATTATTTTTCCTAATTCCTAATTGATTTTGAGAAATATTTCATTTCTTATTTATATTATATTTAAGCACACGAGAAAATATGAATGAATTGTTTTTAATCCTTAATGTCTCCTTGGAGATGTTCAATAGAACTGGAAATCGATGACAATTTTTGTAACACGCTTTCCATTTGTGGGATCTTTATGGCACAAAATGTTGGTCAACTAGGAAACAACATATGCATAAAGTGAGTGTGGTGGAAATGTCAATGCTGAGATGGATGTGCAGTAAGACTAGAAAGAATAGAATTAGAAATGATTACATTCGGTAGATGGTTGGAGTAGCACAAATTGGAGATAAAATGAGAGAAAATCGGTTAAGATGGTTTAGTCATGTGCAAAGAAGACTTTTAAGTGGCCCAGTTAGAATGAGAGGGACATAGCCCACATTGAGGGTAATGCTTGGGAAAGAGTGCGTAAATTTAGTAAGGAAGGATCATGTGGTTTGACCGAGGACTCGTCCTTGGTGTTGCTTTCCACCTGTGGGATTAAGGTGGGGGGAAATTATCTTCAGCATCTCAGTCAAGACTCAAGAGTCATGACAGAGCCTTAGAGGGTAAACAATCCTGGAAATCTGGATCAAATGTTTAGTTGGTTGATGCCGCTTCCCCATGTTAGCTTAGTACCCTGCTGATTAGTGACCTCAACAGTGAGGTTGTTACTGCTGCTCAAGTTCCATTTCACCTATTCACACTTTCTTTCTCTCCCTGCTATTCTTTCTTTCTGTATTTTTTTTTCTTGCAAATAACTTCAACAGTGTTCTTGGAGAGACTTGCACCATCCATCTTTCACTTTGGAAGGCGAAGAGGTATTGTGCCACATGCATTGGTTGCTATTCTTTTTTATTGACTTGCCTCACATGCAGAATATTTATTGAGGAAATATTTGAGTTAAATCATACATCTTGCACTCCCTTTGATATTCCATTTCTTTCATCTTTACTTGGTCTGTTATTTAGAAACTGCTCTACTATCATGGGAATCCTTTGTAAATGAAAATATCATGGCTGAATGTACTAGGATTTGAGAGCTTTAATAATTTTTTCCTTCATGATGGTAAATCCGATACTCTTTTTATTATTACCATTATTATTATTATTTGTATTTAAAAATAATTGTTTTGATATGGCCTTGAAATTCACTATAGATGGCGGAATTTTATTTCCCCACAATGTTAAAAGTAAGTGCTTAGATTTCAATGTTTCATTTCTTTCTCAGAAGATGGCCTCTTCCCTCGAGGTCAAAGTTTTTAGGACCCTGGACTTATCCTTAAAAAGTATTCTACTTGTTTATTGTATAAAAGTGTCTTCTATTTGGTAGGTGCAGAAAGCAAAACAGGGTGCTTAGCTCATTTTCTTTGGGCAACGTGTCCCATCTTTGAGGGTGGGCCTTGGAGCAACAGTAGAATAGATTCTTTGAGGGTGGGCCTTGGAGCAACAGTAAAATAGATTCTTTGAGGGTGGGCCCTGGTGCAACAGTAAGATTGACGGGAAACAACTTCTCTACATGTAGAAGTAAGGCTATGTACATTTGACCCTCCCTAGAACCCGCAATAGCTGGGCCTTGTGTACTAACCTAGCCCTTTTAATGTTTTCCATCTTAAAGATTTGTTATTCTTGATCTTTCACTAATTTTTATCATTTACTATTTTTTTAAGATTTAGATTTTGGGTTCAATACAACACATTCAATTTTTGATTCATTATTTTACAAGCCTAACTTGTACATTGCAATATTGCATCAAAAAGCAGATTGGATGTTTTTTTTTTTCTTTCTGCGAACCACTTCTTAACGCTTGACATAAATTCATAAAAAAGAAAAAAGAAAAAAAGAAAAAGTATGGGTCATACCATATTCTATCTCCATCCAGTTATTGTGTTCAATCAGTTATGTGCGGACTGTCAGAGCATCTCATCTATTTACTATTGCCTCCTTGTTATCTTCCAATTTAAAGTTACTTGCATATTACATCATTTTCCACGCAGATCTCTTCTGTCATTTTCAGTTGAGTTCCCAGTTCCCACTAGACTAGATAAATGCTAACCAGACATTGAGTTATTGACAAGCATTTGCAAATAAATAATTATGAGCAAGCATCTCCACAGCAATCATCATAATTTTCAGGATATTATGCGTTCTCTAATACTTAAAAGTCAGTGTTGCTTTTTCTGGTTTCTATTTGGCTTCTTGTTGGTATATATCTATATTTATTGGAGAAGGAATGTAATCAGATTGTTGTGTACCGCATTCAGATCAAGTAAGCCTGAAAAGCAGGACTGCTTGTATGAGGGAGAAAGATAGAGTTATTTTCTTAGTTGTCTTTAATCGGTTTGGGTGTCTTGGTCCTAAGAATTATTGAAGTGATTTGTTTTGATCATATAATACCAGTGCAAGATTAAATTGATTAAATTAAGGAAAAAAAGATTAAATTGATTATTTTTTATAAACCAAGTAATTATAAACTGAGTGCTAAACCTTAAATTTTCTGGTTACATGTATTTTAACTTGCCTTCAGTTTCATGGGAAAAATATAAATTAACCTGTTATCGAGTTACATCCCTCAGCAATTTTTGGTTTATACTGGAATTCCTTCATCAGAACATTTATATCCTCTCTCTTGTATATTCAATTGTAGTACATCCTTCAGCAAATTTTGGTTTTTATACTGAAATTCCTTCACTCAGAACATTTATATCCTTTATCTTATATATTCAATTGCAGTCATTGACATATTCTTCACATATTTATGGTGCCGTGACAGACTTCATACATTACCCAGTCTTTCAACTCTTGGAGTTCTGTGCAATGGCTATTGTAGGAGCTCAAGAAGCCTCTTTAATGCATTGGCATAATTATCATGTATTCTTAAGTTTTAGAGGTGAAGACACACGGAAGACTTTTACCGACCACCTTTATACAGCTTTGGTGGGTGCAGGTTATCGCACATTTAGAGATGACGATGACATTGAAAGAGGAAAAAATATTAGTTCAGAAATAGAGAAAGCAATTGAACAATCAAAGAGTTCAATAATTGTCTTCTCGAAAGACTATGCTTCTTCCCAATGGTGCCTTGACGAACTTCTGATGATTCTCAAACACAAGAGGACCTCCGGACACATAGTTCTACCTGTCTTCTATGATGTTGATCCATCCCAAGTTAGGAACCAAACGGGAAGAATTGCAGAAGCATTTGCTATACACGAAGAGCGATTCAAGGCAGAAACCGATGAAAGAACAAAGAAGTGGGTGGACAAGGTGGACGGGTGGAGGGAAGCACTTAAAGAAGTTGCAAATCTAGGAGGGATGGTCTTACAAAATCAATTTGACGGGTAATTTCCCTTCTGCAGAAAATCCTATCCTGCGCATCATCTATGCTGTTAAGAATTTTTTGAGATTAGTGACATTAATTTATTCCTTTTCTCCCCGCCCACCTTATGAACTTACCATTTACACTGACACAACAATAATAAGCATATGTAAGAATGAATAAAAATCCAGTCTCTTGCAAATGATAGCATAAATTGGGAGATTTAAAAAGTGGTCATGGCGGTAAAGGCTTTGGCAGTATGTTTTTAGATAGGATTTCAGTTTAAAAGTTTCTGCGTGGGCAATTACTTTGTGGATCTTTTAGTGGGATAAATTTTTTGTCGGATTTAAAAAAATTTCCATTAATAAGAATCAAATTCGTATTATGGACCCACTGAACAGTAACATCAGCAAAAAAAGTCCCTTAAATTATTATTAGGAAGATGTCTTTATTAATATGTTGTTAGTAAAAAATAACTCAAAATGAACATGTATTTTCAAATGTCTACATGTTCTATAATTGGCCATATTACTCTTTTCTTCACATTTAAATTATATTTACTTTTTTTCCATTTACTGGTTGGTTGTCATGATAAATGTGAAAATCAAAACCATGATGCCAGTAATCAAATGGTTTTGGGGTTGTTATTGTGGGGTGGTTATGATGGAGATGATGATAATGTTTATATTGAGTGGTGGTTATAAAGGAAGTTGGTAAATAAAGGAGTATGGAGCTAAGTGATGATTTTGTGTAGGTACAAGGGGTTTGCAATCTTTTATTTTTTTATTTTTGGGTAAAGTGCATTTAACCCTCCTGAACTTTCACTGTTTTGCAGTAAAGCCCCCCTTTACAAATTTTTTGCCAAAAAACCCCCCTTAAATAACTGAGGGGGGTTCTTTTTTGAATTTTTGCCAAAAATACCCCCACTAACCTAATCAAGGAAGAATGGAGACGGCGGGGGGGCCATTTTTCCAATTGGGTGAATTTAGCTAAAAGTTTTTTTTTTCTTTCTTTCTTTTTTTTCCTTTCTTGAATAATAATATTTCAACTTATATTTTTTTGTTAAATGCAATCACCATGCTTTTAATTAAAGAAAAAGCATATAAAAAATTAAAGAGTAAAATTTATAGTTATGAGTGCAACTACATATAAGATCAAATCTTATATGTTTATTCATATTATATATTATTATACCTATATTATATTTTTTATTTTATATAATGTGTACGCATGTATAAGAATATGAGATGGACATTTGATCAAAAAATTAGATCGACAAAAATGAATTTTAATTACAAAAAAGTAATTGAATGTCATAAAATAGTTGGTTTTTCTCCTTTTTTTTTTTTTTTTTTTTTTTTTTTTTTTTTTTTTTAATAGAAAAAAATTGGGAAAATAAGAATATTACAGGATTTAACTATGCTAGACATATGCTATAGAAATAGCATGTAGTTGCACTCATAACTATGAATTTTAATTTTTTAAATATGTTTCTTTTATTAAAAATATGGTGATATATGTAACGGAAAATATAAGTTAAAAAATTATTATTCAAGAAAGGATAGAAAATAGAATCTTTTAGCTAAATTCACACAATTGGGCAAATTGCATAAAATCCCTCTTGACTTGAATGGTGGGGGTATTTTTGGCAAAAATTCAAAAGGCAACCCCCCTCGCTTAGTTGAGGGAGGTTTTTTGGCAAAAAAATTGGGTTGGGGGGAAATGCACTTCTTTCTTATTTTGTTAAGTAAACAACAAGGGGTTTTCAATAAGTTTGGTTGTATCCTATGGTTGGATTAATATTGATCATGTAGGCGGGTGAAAGGGAGTGCTCAGAGTGGTAGGGGGAGGAGAGGATAGAGAAGTAGAGTTGGCGGAGCCCCCAAAATCTATAATGTAGAGAAAAAGAAGAGAAACTAGAAGCCCTTAGAAATATATAGTGGGTGTATATATATAAGAGGCCACATTTGTTGTCTAGAGTCTAGGTGTAATGGGTGGGCGCTTGCTCATTTACCTAAAAGCTTAAACTGACTTGGTTGGTGGGGATATTTTTGGCAAAAATTCAAAAGGCAACCCCCCTCGCTTAGTTGAGGGAGGTTTTTGGCAAAAAAAAAAAATAGTAAAACGATGAAAGTCAAGGGGGGTAAAATGCACTTTCTTATTTTGTAAGTAAACAACAAGGGGTTTTCAATAAGTTTATTGTATCCCATGGTTGGATTAATATTGATCATGTAGGCGGGTGAAAGGGAGTGCTCAGAGTGGTAGGTGGAGGAGACGATAGAGAAGTAGAGTTGGTGGAGCCCCCAAAATCTATAATGTAGAGAAAAAGAAGGGAAGCTAGAAGCCCTTAGAAATAAATAGTGGGTGTATATATAGATAAGGCCACATTTGTTGTCTAAAATTTAGGTGTAACGGGTGGGCGCTTGCCCATTTACCTAAAAGCTTAAGCTATTGGGTACTGTTGCATACCAACTCATTTATACTCATACATTTTCTCATTCAAATCCGATGTGGGACAAGCTTCTTCCTTGTAACCTAGGAAACACGGACATGCCAAAATGGGCGAAGAATCCGTGTCCATGCGTCGGACACGCCCCGACACACCAAAAAACGTGTCTGGATTTTTTTTATTTTTTTTTAATTTTTGGACATGGCACGGACACTCCGCAGACACACGTGTCTGGAATTTTTATTTATTTTTTTTTTAATTTTTAATTTTTAATGCTGATATGTTCTGTTTTTTATTTTGTACTACCTTTTTGGTATTGTAAATGGTAAAAGTCCTAGGTCAAATGATGGATGGGAATAGATGATAGTACACTGACTTGTTTTGTATCTTTTTTGGGGACTAGCCTTTAGGTTTTTGTGAATATTAAGTGCTAACAGTAAAGTCCTGAATGTTAAACAGTTATGAATGTTAATAGTCCTTTCTGTCTATGCTTTTGTATTTGGAGTAAAGTTGCAATGATGATTAAATGATCCTAGTTATTATTCTAATGTCTTGTTTTTTATTTGGTTTTATAACTATGTAACATTGTTCTTTTATAGTTTATTAGTTATAAGTTATGATTTGTGTTTTTTTTTCATTGTGAGGTTGATGAAAAATAGTAACACTCAGTAATTTTTAAAGTACTGCATCACACACACACATACATATATTACACTATTCGCTGTGTCCTCGCCGTGTCCGTGTTATAATTTTTTTGGATTTGCCGTGTTGCCGTGTCCGCGTCGTGTCGTATCCGTGTCCGTGCTTCTTAGCTTGTAACATTCTCCCCCACCCGAACTTGCAACACTCTCGTTGCGGTCGGTCCACCCTGCCTACCCGGGTGACTCACTAGGACGCCTTCCGAGCTGGGCGCTTGGTGTCGCATCGGATCAAAGACTGGGTCTGACTCTGATACCAACTGTAACGGGTGGACGCTTGCCCATTTACCCAAAAGTTATTCGGTAGTGCTGCATACCCACCTATTTATACTCATACATTTTCTCATCCAGATCCGATGTGGGACAAGCTTATCCCTTGTAACACTAGGCCTGTATCTACAGATTAGTGACGTGTTCAATGCATTGCCCCTTCTTGGGACATCTTGTGGCATCACATCTTAGCTAGCACGCCTCCCATGGTTCACCCAACCACAACCTACTTAAACTACCCCAGTATGACAAATCAATATATGAATAGGCTTTTATAACTTAGAAGTTCAAGCTGTTCTGTATGACATAGATCCACTTTAAAAAAAAAAAAATTTTAATCAGTATATCAAAATGAACCTAAAACAAGTAGTTTGAAGAACGTAGAAATCATTAGGATTATGAAAAGTAAGAACCTCATGTCTTTAAATTGCCTATTAAAATAAATGATGTTAGATTATTAATTACATTTTTTTAATTTTGATATGGTTTTTGTTTCTTTCATATATTTTAAACATAATTTAATAATCATCTCATTTTTAAATGATTATATTTCAGTCATCTTGTTTGGTTTTTGCACTAACATTCTTAATTATTTTGGTCATGAATAGTATGTTGTTTATGCATATGTGTATATATTTACCATTTTGTTCACCACTTATAGGTATGAGTCCAGGTTTATCCGGAAAATTGTTAAGGAAGTTCAGGATAAAGTCAGTCGCACGGTCTTGAGCATTCCTCGTAACCTTATTGGAATTGATTCTCGAGTCCAAAACGTTAATCTGTGGTTACAAGATCAGTTACCTGATGCTCAGGTAATGGTGATCTCTGGGATGGGTGGAATAGGAAAGACGACCATTGCTAAAGTTGCTTATAATTTAAACTTTGAAAATTTTGAAGGCAGTAGCTTTCTTGCAGATATTAGAGAGACTTCTAAACAACACAATGGTTTACTTTTTTTACAAAGGAAGGTTCTGTCAGATATTTTGAAGGGGAAAAAGGAAAAAATAGGCTGTGTTGATGAAGGAATTACTAAGATCAAAGAAGCCATATGCTGTAAAAGAGTTCTTATTGTTCTTGATGACGTTGATCAAGCAGAACAATTAGATGCAGTACTTCGAATGAGAAATCGCTTTCATCCAGGAAGTAAAATTATTATAACAACTAGGCATCAGTGGTTGCTAAAGCCTCATGAAGTTGATGTGATGTGTCATAGGGTTGAAAAATTGGGTAAAGCTGAATCGTTTAAGCTCTTTAGTTGGCATGCTTTTGGACAAGACCATCCCATTGAAGGTTACAAAGAGCATTCAGAAAGGGTGGTGAACTGCTGTGGTGGCCTTCCTTTAGCCCTTCAAGTTTTGGGTTCTTCTCTATCTGGCAATTGTATAGATGTATGGCAAAGTGCATTGGAGAAATTGGAAGAAATCCCTGACAGTCGAATCATAGATAAACTCAAAATAAGCTATGATTCCATACAAGATGACCATGACCAAGGTTTATTTCTTGATATTGCTTGTTTCTTTGTTGGAAAGCGCGAAGATTATGTGATTACAGTACTAAAAGGATGTGGTTTCCACCCAAAAGTTGGGATTAAGAATCTCGTTGATAGATGTCTCTTAACTATTGATGGAAATAAAAAACTGATGATGCATCAGCTGGTTCGGGTCATGGGAAGAGAGATTGTTCGCAGAGAATCACTGAAGGAGCTTGGTGAACGCAGCAGATTGTGGCGTCATAATGAATCATTCGATGTCTTGAAGTACAAAAATGTGAGAAATTTGGTTGATCTCATATATGTTTCTATGTTTTTGTTGCACATGATTATGTAATAATATCCCTTTTCTTAATTTTTCCTTTTTTTTTTTTTTGGTTTTAATTAGGGCACAAAATCAATTGAAGGCCTAGCCCTTGACATGCGTATGTTAAACAATGTGAAACGACACCACTTCCAAGAATCTCATGGCGAATCATTGCTACCAGACCAAGGCAATTCACCAAGATGGCGCGGTTTCAACTCCTTTCCCTGGAATCTGATAAACAGTGCTTCAAGAAGGTCAAATGAGGTGGACTTGAAATTTGATGCATTTGCAAGGATGCAAACTTTAAGATTACTCCAGATCAATTATGTGCAACTCAGTGGGTGCTATAAAGAATTTCCGAAGAAGTTAAGGATGTTATGTTGGCGCGGATTCCATTTGAAATCTATACCTAGCGATTTTCCTTTGGACAGCCTTGTGGCTCTTGACATGCGCAACAGCAGCTTGGAACAAGTTTGGATGGGAATCAAGGTATGATATTTGTTTCTTTTTTTCATTCTTCCTTTTCTCTGGATTTTTAGTAATTAATTATACTGGTACAATCAATGAAATTCCTACTTTTTTTTTTGTTTTCTTCATTTTCTTTCTTTTTCTTTTTGGTCAACAGTTACTCAAATTGCTGAAAATCCTGAATCTAAGTCATTCACATGACCTTATCAGAATCCCCGACTTCATAGGACTCCCTAAGCTTGAGAGATTGATTCTTAAAGATTGTCCACGTTTGGGTGAGATCCATGAATCAATTGGAGACCTTAAGCGACTTGTTTTTTTGAATTTTAAAGATTGCAAAAATCTAAGGATGCTTCCAAGAAGCATTGGCATGCTGATGTTTCTTGAAACACTTATTATTTCTGGTTGCTCGAATCTTGATAAGTGGCCAATAGAGTTGAGTAAGATGGAATCCTTGAAAGTGCTTCATATGGATGGAACACCTGTATATCGTTTTCACTGTGACATTGGAGAGGGTAAGTTATGGCATGCATTCATCTGGTCTTGGATGTTAAAACCAACAAGCCGTCCGGAAGTTTTATGGGCTTCTTTACCCCGTTCTTTAGTGAGCTTAAGTCTTGCAGAATGCAGTCTTTCTGATAATGCTTTTCCCAAAGATTTCCATAGCCTACCCTTGTTGAAGAACTTAAATCTAAGCCAAAACCCAATTTGTTCCCTACCAGAGAGCTTCAAAGATCTTACCAGGCTGCAGACGCTCGACTTAAAGTCATGTACAAGGCTCAGCTCACTTACAGTGCCATCTAGTTTACAAGAACTGGACGTGGACAATTGCTCATCATTGGAAAAAATTACATCTGTATCAACTTCGTTCAGACCAGTATTGGGAGTTGCTGATTCCAATAACCAATTTGAGGTTCAAAATAACTTCAAGCTAGAATCCATTAGAAATATTGATGAAAAAGCTCTCAAATATTTGGGCTTCTTCCAATTGAACTCTGTTGAAAATGTTGAGGTGGAATTTTATGATCGGATTGCTAATAAAGTGGAGAAGCTTCCCTTCCAGGTAATATCTCTCTCTCTCTCACACACACACTTGAACACACGGAATTGATAGTTAAGTTTATGATTGCTATGGTTCAGGGACTCTATGAATCTGGCGTATTCAGCACTTTTTTCCCGGGCAGTCGGGTTCCAAGCTGGTTCGGGAACAAGACGGCAGGGTCCTCGATATCTTTTACCGTGCCTTCATTACTTAACCTTAGAATTCGGGGCTTGAATCTGTGCTTTGTTTATGCACTTTCTGACAATCAGAAAGGTCAAGTTGGTGATGCTTTACAGACTGAAATCAGCAACAAGACCAAAGGTCTGAGGTGGTACTATCACCCAAAGTTCTTGGGCATTCCAGAAACTGACAAAAATATGATATGGTTGAGTCATTGGAAAGTTGAGAATGATCAGTTGGAAATTGGGGATGAGCTGAAGATTTCACTGGAATATGTGAGCGATGTTTTTGAGGTAAAGGAATGTGGAGTACACCTTGTGTGTGAGGAGCAAGAGCAGGGTAAAAACCATTCAAATAGCAATGGAGTAATAGTGCACACCATTTTTATGACAAGCAAGTAGAGAAAAATGGTACTCAGTCCTTGAGAATAGAGATGTATTGGTCCGAGTCCTTTATTCTCCCAAAAAAGTGCTTGACCAGGTTAACAAGATTTTGAGATCATTCCTTTGGTTTGGTATTGAGATGAAAAAGACAGGAGTAAAGGTGGCATGGGACAATGCTTGCAGACCAAAGATGCAGGGAGGTCTTGGCTTTCCCAATCTAGAAATGGCAAACTTGACTGCAAATCTCAAGCACATTGGAAACTCTTTGCTAGAAGAAAGGAAAGCTTATGGGTGGCATGGATACATAGTTACCTAATAAAGGCAGAGAGCTTTTGGACAGTCAAAGCTTCCTCTCTTAGCACAGGTATATGGAGGAGGTTATTAAAGCTTAGGGACATGTCAAGAGGACTTATCGAGCACAGGGTGGGAACATGCACTGATCCTATGATGTGGTTTAACATTTGGCTGTCAGATGGACCTTAAATCAACCTCACTGATGTGGAAATTCTTTAACTGGACTTGTTTGTCAAAGTCTATAGCCTAATTTCCAACAATCGGTGGGTTGTTCCACCTCCCTCTCATCCAAATAGTTTCTTTTAAAGCCAAAACTTCACTAGACAAATCTTTTCATTACCTGCACCCTCCACTGAACCTGACTCCATCATATATGGACCCCCTCTCCCTCTGCTGTTTTCTCCCTTCTCAGTCTAGGGGTGCACAAAAGAACCGTGGAACTGGAACCGAAACCGAAACCGTAAGAACCGGAACTGAATCAGAAGTTCAAAACTCATATATTTCAGATCTTTCTGCAAGAATCAAAAGTTCAAAACCCATATCGGCATATCATTTCAAGATTGTTCAAAAAATCAAAACCCATATCTTTCAGTTTCCATTGCCCGCTGTTCCAATTCGGGTTCGGCGTTTGCAAGCTTCAGCCGCCGTCTCTCAACTCTAAAGCTTGTCCCCTCTCTCTGTGCAACTGCTAACTTATATGTATGGGTTTTGTTTTAATTTTTTTTTCTAAATCAACTAATCAAGGTCTGTAATTCTTGATTTTGTGTATGCACATATATATATATATATATTGTAACGTTTTCGATTTTCAGCCTTTTTTTCAATTTTTTGGGATTTTGTTGCCGCAAGGGTATTTTGGTCATTTCACTTTTACGCGTGGGATTTTGGTTGAGTCCAATTGTTTTTGGTGCATTTATTTTCATGGGACTTATGTAGTATTTGTATGGTGGTGCACTATGTATTCATATGTGGAGTAAATTAAATCAAATGGAAAAAGGAAAAGTCAAAAGATAGTGGTGGGACCCACCACTACCCAATTTATGGTCTACGGACCATTTTCCCTTCATTTCTTTCTCTCTCCCCGTCCAATTCTTTTCTCTTTCAGTTTCTTTTCTCTTTTTTCTTTCACTTGACAACCAATCTTTGAAACAAGATTTCTTTCTCATTTCATATCGGATTAAGGTGCCGTTTGAGGCAAAACGAAGCCCACGACGAACTCTACACATCCATACCAGCAATTGCAGATTTCGTGCACCCTTGGAGTTCGAATTTTGAGACCCACTTTGAGGGTTTTTGCATTCTAAGAGGTAGGGGTTCCTAATCCATGTGTTCTTGCTCCCTTGTGAGTTATTCCTTGTTAATTGTGGTTAAATGTGATTAAATTGATGATTAACTTGTTTAATTAAGTTGATTGCCACTAAAATGATGTGATTTTGTATGTGAGATTCATATTTATGTGTATATGTGGATTTGTGAAATAAACATGTTTAGATGTTGATTTTACATGCTTGTGTGGTTGTAACTTGGTAGAATTTGTTATGTGGAAAACATGCCTTATTTAAATTAATTACCTTGAAAGTGATACAATTGTTTAATTAGAAAATTATGCCTATATATGTGTAATTGTTAATTTATGTGGAGAGCATGCTTGATATGTGAATTTTCCATGACTATGATGATTGATAAATTGTCAGGAAATTTGTGTGGATCTATGTTAATTGTGTAATGATAGTTCCTTCCATTTCCATAGTATAAAATGGGTGTGCATTATGCATCCATGGCATTGGGCATGAAGGAAAAAGGGAAAATGTTTTGAAAACAAAAAAAGGGAATTTTGGGGAATAAGTTTTTGATAAAAAGAATTTTGAAAAAACCCGGTCGCTGCGGAGTCACCAACGGGCCGGTAGGTTAATGTAGCCTAGAGGGAATTAGGGAGATTTTCCTAACGTGGTTGAGCTATTTGGGCCCCTCGATGACGCTGCGGAGTCACCAAAGGTCTAGGGACAGTAGCCAATCCTTCTCTCGGCGCTGCGGGGGTACCAAAGGGGGTTACATTAACAGTTTGGAAAGTGACAGATGAATGATTTTGAAAATGGGGAGCGACATTTGACACGCATTGCATTCCATTGTATTGTATTGTTGATGTTGAGTTTGGATGTGATGTTGTACTTTCCTGACATAGTATGATCCCGATTCCTATTGCTCTATTCTTTGTATGAATTCACGGGGACAGAAGAGGTGTGTCTTAGGTGCCACTTACTGAGCAATATGCTCACCCTATTTATTTAACTTTTTTTTTTTCAGGAAATGGGAAAGAAATGGCCAATGAAAATCCCCCGCAAGCTTGAAGAAGATTAGGAGTTGTATTTTGTTATCTTTTGTATCTTAGCCCATTTTTTTTGTATAATCTCAAAACTAAAATGTCCTGTATTCATTTTTGCAAGACAAGGTCATGTATTATAAATCATAACTCTTGTTGATATTTTGAAGGGAAGCAAGACTATGTAAATGCTTAAGTTGAATGGGATGACGATGATGGGCTAACTTGGGGAGGTTGTTGAAGTTGTGGTATTGGGGAATGTATTATATTTCTTTTGTATTATGTGTTGGGACAGGTTAGATAGGTCTTGAAAGGCCATCGCATTTTTTTTCATTTGAACAGGTTGTGATAGGACCCTTTTAAGGGAAGGTGATGCCGATTTTTTTTTTATTTTTTATTTTTTATTTTTTATTTGGTATCAGTTTAGGGGCGTTACATATATCAAGGTTTGTAATTCTTGTTTTGTAATCAAAAGTTCAAAACCCATATATATATATATATATATATTTTGGCGAATGATCTTTCATATCAAGTCTTGGAAAGGAAAAGGGATGGCTAGAGATTTGCGAAGCTCATGAGGAAATTGATTCAGATAGTTAACGGTTCCTTGGAACCGAATCGGGAATGCCGGTTCGGTTCGGTTCCAGATCTCAACGGTTCGGTTCCGGTTCCATTTTTAAAGAACCGTTAAGATCTGTTCCGGTTCCGTTAGGAACCGTACTGAACCGAGCCGTGTGCACCCTACTTCTCACACCATTAGTTACCTCTCTTCACCCTCTCCCAACACATCCTTGGCGCCGACTAGTTTGGTTTAGCCATCACATGCATAAACACGGATTCATCTATTGGTTAGCCTTGAGAGGTAGGCTAAACACCCTTTAGGTAAATAAAATTTCTTACGAAAAGTAAAATTCATTTTGCCTATACGTGCAATGAATCTTGTGCTCTCTCAGTCCTATCCCTTTTGGAATCGCGAGATAAAATAATAAAATAAAATAATTAATTATAAATTTCACTACTGAGTCTTGAGTTTTTTTTTTATCCTCTAATCATTATGAGATTAACTTGTTTTATCTATATTGATTTTACCAAGCTGACCTGGTACAAGCCCTCTCCATTCGGCCCTATATTTATATTAATAAGAATTCTATCACTCACAATGTATCGAAACTATAGAATAAAATAGTGGGGGATCAATATTTGATTTAGTAGTGGAAAGAAACAAGTTAGTTTCGGACATATAAACCTAAAAGAAAGTGACAATGAGAAAAGGAAATTGAAGTTGTAGCAGAGAAATGCGTGTGTTTGCTGCTTGAGTTACATTGAAGTGCTCTAATTTGTGAAGCAGATAGATGCTTGCCCAACATTTGGCTAATTAAAATATTTTGTAGATTAGAAGTTTTACGCTTAGGTTGAGTAAAATATACAACTTTAATGAAATATAATTAATATATTGCCACGTTTATTTGTAAAAAATAAACTTAATGCGTTGTTGTCCAACTATTACATCTAAAATCATTTCACATATATATATATATATATATAATTACACTATTGAGAAGTAAATCAAATACAATTATAAATTGTGTGGGAGTAAATCAAATACAATTATAAAATTGTGTGGGATTGTCAATCATATGAAATGAAATAATATAAAGTGAATGACTTGGAAAATGAAATATGTATTTGAAGGAGGCTAGAATTCATGCAAATCATTCTAGTTTTATTTACACTAGCAAAATTCACTGCTAAATTAATCATTGAAGAATGTAAATAATAATAATTATAATAATACATCATATAAAACAATTTTATGTGATATAATAATAACAGTAATAATAATAATGTTCATGCATGGGATTAAAAATCATATAAAATAGTAAAAAATAAATATCAAGTGGTAAGAAAACAATAATTACAACCAACGGGTCAGTGGATATCAAGTCCTTACTTTCCAAAAAGAGGTTAAGTGTTCAAGCCTCAATGGAGACATGTGTATGTGAGTACCAATTATGAAGAAAAAATAAATAAATAACAATAATTACAACATATACAAACACAATTATAAAAATTAAGTCCATAACAATGATTATGAATAAAGAATACAATAACAGAAGAAAATTTTAAAAATGCATAGTTGGTGTTTAATGAAACTCTTTGTTTGTAAGTAGAGTTTGTAATAAAAATAATAATAACAACAAAAAATATTTTTGTTTAATTAAGTCTTTATATCTATTTATAAATTTTTAGTTAAAATAATATAAAATTGTATTGAATATTTGTAATTTGTGATGTAAGCAATCAATACAAAAAACAAAAATAAAAAATACAATAAAATTGCAAAATAAGATGAAAAAGGTAAAACATAAAAACTTTGAATGAGTATTTTGTCGATAACTTGTATAGCCTCGACCTTTGAAGCAAACATAAAAAAGAAAAAGAAAAAAAGAAATGGAACTAATTAACATCCTACCACTACAACTCATTTCTTTTGATTCATTTTTTCTAAAACGAAATAGACAATAAATTCTCGGTACAAACTAAGGTAAAACCAAATTCTCTTGAAAATTTTAATTTTCCTTTTAAAACTAAGGTAAAACCAAATCAATAACGAAGTAACGAACTAATAACAATTAGCAAATAATCATAACAAATAAGTTGGACATGCTATGATAAAAGCTATACGAAATATGGAAGCTTTATTGTGTGAAAGTACCAATTAGGAATATATATATATATATACACGGAACCTTTAATTGCACTTTTAATGGAACACATTAATGTAAATTCCTTTAATCAAGGCAAGCACCTTATTTTTTATTTTTGAAAATGTAAAAAAAAATGTTAAGAAATTCAAAAAATTCCTTACACTCTACAATGGAATACAATATATGTATTATTTCTTATACAAAAATGTTATTGATACAAATAACTACTGTCATGAAATATTCGTAATTAAATATTTAATAAAATTAAATTCTCATTTTGTTAAAATAAATTGGCCATAATTTATCTCACTTTCAGTTAAATTCACATTTCACACATCTAATATTCACAAATATATGAATCAAATCATATATTACAGATAAAAATTGAAACATGCATATTTAAAAATAAAAATCAGATAAGAGAAATGACTTGAAGCAACAATAACACGGGGTCAAAACAAAAAGTAAAGTAATAACATGATCGATCTATATAATTAAAACAAACATATAAGATTAAGAAAACTATTTAACAGTCGCAACATTAAAAATAAAGCATGGGAACAAAGCACCTCTCTTTGTGGAAAGTTTCCAACTTCTTCGCTCATGCTGCTTGCCCTCCTCTTCTATAGTAATTCCTTAGTCATCATCTACAAAAACATATTACTTACCATATAAAAATAAATAAAAATTTAGGAATGAAAAACTGCAAATTCCTTTAATCAAGGCAAACACCTTATTTTTTTATTTTTAAAACTGTAAAAATATGTTAATAAATTCAAAAAAATTCCTTACACTTTTATGATTGAAGACAATATATGTACTATTTCTGATAGAAAAACGTTATTGATGCAAATAATTACTCTTATGAAATATTCGTGATTAAATATTTAATAAAATTAAATTCTCATTTTGTTAAAATAAATTGGCCACAATTTATCTCACTTTCAGTTAAATTAATATTTCACACATCTAATATTGACAAATATGTGAATCAAATCAGAATGTATTAAAGATAAAAATCAAAACATATTTAAAAAGAAAAATAAGATAAGTGAAATTACTCGAAGCAACGATAACACAAGGTCACAACAAAAGATGAAGCAATAATTAACATGATTGATCTATATAATTGTATAAACGAACATATAAGAATGCGAAATTGGGCACCTCTCTTTGTGAAAAGTTTCAAACTTCTTTGCGCATATTGCGTGCCCCTCTATAGTAATTCTACAAAACATACCATATAAAAATAACAATTAATGATAAAAATGTAGGAATAAAAATGGTAAGAGGTGTTACCATTGAAATAAGAAAAAGTGATCAACAACAACTAAGTCAAAAAAAAAAAAAAAAAAAAAAAAATCAACAGCAACTAACCAAATGTGTGTAGTGTGTGTTAAACTACATAGAATTTTTTTTTTTTTTTTTTTGAAAGATTCAGAATACTGAGAGATACCCTCAATACCGAAAAACAGTTAGGGTGGTTCTGTGAAGAAGGCAAAGATACTGATTAATTTTAGATATAGATTATGATTATTATTATTATTATTAGGGTGAAAGTATACCTAAATATCCTTTTAATTGTACTTTTGATCCGTAACGGGCATAAAACTATACACTAAATTTGTGTATGTTCCCCATTAAGTTTCGTTTATCACAAAATCAAGTACATCCAGACACCTTCCAACATGTGTTGTTACTTATCAGTTATCACTAATGTATATATTTATAATTTTGATATGAGTAATGATATTTGTACAAATTTGTTGCAGTCAATTACCTAGTCGAATGTTTCTGATGGGTTATTTATGCACAATACATGTAAGTGAAAGGCCCACTCTTTTATTTATCCCATTTGTTATAGTGAATTGTCAGACCTATTTATTTTAATTGATCAATTTATACATAAATAAAGAAGTGGGGCCTCTACTTTCATGTATTGTGCATAAATAACTAAACAGAAACATTCGATTACATAATTCACTTTAATAAATTGGCATAAGTATCATTACTCTTTTGATATAACTATCTTATTTTTTTAGATTAAAATTGTGTAGCCAGTGTTATATAGAAATGCTTTTTTCAGATTCTCCCGCCCCCTCGTCTTTCAATGAGTCGATCACTTCTTGCGGAGAACTCTAATTATCACTAAAACATATATATATATATATATATATATATATATATATAATAAAAATAAAATAAAAAAACACACAATAACAATCCATTGCAATTAGGGACGGAGCTAGTAACAAGTGAAGTGTGGCAATTGCCCCCTGAATTTTTTATTTTTTATTAATATGCCATACTATTTTTTTTTTTTTTTTTTTCAATATATACTCCTAAAATATTACTAATACTCTCCCTAAAATTATTACAAAATTTTAGCCGCGCCCTGTCTAAAATCTAGGTCCACCCCCATTGCATTCCAATAAAATATATTTGGTTTTACTCAATATTTTATTTGGAACAAAGTACAAATCTTATCATCATTGGACTGAACATTTGAAATTGTGTGAGAACGTAGGTTAGAGCAAAGAGAATCCAGGTAAGATCTCATTACTACTAGAAAACCATGGGCAGCTAGCTTCAACCTGCAAATAGTAAGAATAGCCATAAAACATACATTAGAAGCTAGGAATGATATGCTGCATCACCAGATGAACACC